TATCTATGTACACATTTTGGGGTTGGGGCCCCGTCTGGCCAAAGGGAGAAAGGATTCAGGATTCTGGTGAGCCCTTAGTGACGAGGGTGGGCTAGTGCGTCATGCCGCAAAGGGATCTCGACGTCGCAGCGTGATTGTGTGCGCGTGATCTGCCTCAGAATCTGTCGGTCTGGAGCGTTTGTGTGCACCTTGGACCTCTTTCTCTCTCTTTCTCTCTCTTTCTCGTGGTCTTGAGCCGTCGTGCAAGTCCCTTGAACGAGGCCACAGCATGTCTTCTTGCACCCAATTCGTGAAGCACCTGGTGTGGAGACAGCCCCAGTGGTGCACTCTTTGGAATTGTGTGCTGACGTAGTTGTGAAAGATAGAGTCACCGCTAGGTAACGGCTTCGAGGAACTGATCGATAGCCACGAGTGCTGAGGTTACTAGTGCCGAAGTTCGTCGGCTTACCTTCAAATTGAAGCTTGCCTGCGACGTCGCCCCTCATACCACTGAAACCACCTGTCAAGTGAACTGTTTACTTACGCTTTCTACTGCATAGGGCAATCTCCAAAGTACAATGTTGCTTGCTTGCGGGATTGCTTGAGGATAACATGGTGTGAAGCAAAGTATTGCAATGGACGTTCAAAGGTTTTCGTCAACGATTTTCGGTTCCAGATCGATGAGGACCCATTTTTGAAATTGGAGACAATGGGGTTTGATCACATGAGCCTTGCTCAATCTTAGCTGTGTAAGGAGCAAAGCGAGATGTGCGAGGTATCTAAATCGTAAAGCAGCAACGACGATCCTCCTTGCATAGAACAACTTTTCGCTCCTGTGGTTTGAGGATGCGTTGGCAACATGTCACACCCTTGCTTGCACTTCATAAGAAGATAATTACTTTGGTTAATTGTACATCGTTTCTGTACGTTAGCCGTCTGCGGTGGCACACTGCCTTCTTCTGAATAACCAGGAATAGCCAAGCACGTAACGATCCCCGAAATGGAGACTTTGACGAGCTGGCCAGTTCATCGCAGAATGTGCGTGTCTTCGGTACAGGAGTTCCTCAGTCTTTCTAAACCCTCTCACAGTTGGGTATTCTTAAACAACGGCCTATTACTTCCGGTGCAACTTACAGTAATTGGCAACCTCTGCGAGTAACGATGCTGATTGGAAGCCATAACCAAGACAATGATGGCTCAGGTATAATTGCCGTGATTATTACCTCTGAGGTTTGTTAGCAAGCCAACTCGATATCCTAGTGGACACATTTATTGTTTTGCGGTTTCAGACCAGGTTTGAAGATAAGCTTAGTTTCACCAGGCAACCCCAAGTTTCTCTTTTAGTGTATTCCTAGCACAAGCTGCATGCAAACCTACAATGGATAGAAACGAGGATTTGGATTAAAATTAGGTAGGCGTTCAATGGTTGCAACTTTTCAGCTTGCCTGAGGGAATGTTGTTGAATTTCCTCTGAATGGAAGGGCCGTCGTTTGTGTTCCTTGATCCGTGTAACTCTTTGTTCTAGCAACCAAATCAACCTCCTGAGTACGTTTGATTTTGGTGTGTGTTTTCCTTCCGATTCTCGCAGTCTCTTTTCATCGTTTTGTGTCCATCTGGATAATGTGCAGAAGAAGTTAGGAAGATGAAATGACTCTACGAAGTTGATTTGTTTACCGAAATTCTCATTACAGAAAGTTGATTTGAAGATACCACGCCCGGTTTGCTTTGATCGAAAAAACATGAGCAGCTTTGTTTTGCCTGTGGGATCTTTGAGTATGCGTGTGTGAAGTTAAACCAAGTACAATTTCAGAATTCCAAAAGATAAATCTCAATTCTGGCCAGCTATAATCTTGTTTTGAAAGCTGTGAATATCACTACCTGAGACCACAACCATGTTTGATGAATCCACTTTGCCACTATTCGGTGAAGGAGGTCTATGCTTGAAGGTTGCAATTGAGCAGGTAGGAACTAATTTTCCATTGAAAAATGAGGATATCAGCAAAAGCCATTTGACGTGCATTTGTAGGAAAACATGCAATGATATCCATGTCTAATGTGTGCAACCAACAAATTGGGTTGTTATTACTTATGTGTTATGATATTTTCCTAACACAAATTTAAAAAAATTCTTATTTGGTTATTTGTTCATGTAAATTGATTGATTTATAATATTCAAATTGGATCAATAAGTATTTCTTAATGTGTTACGAAATTATTATTATTATTATTATTATTATTATTTTCTTTTAAAAACACTTCTAGATTTAAATGTCTATTATAAGAGTGATTTACAAATTGGACAACTTATTTTGTAAGCCTTATAGTCTTTAGAAAACTTGTATGTGATCTTTTTTTTAATGATATATATATATATATATATATATATATATTTGTGGATTGAGGCCATATATGATGGCCATATTTAATCTTTCTAATTTTGATTTAAAACTTATTAATTTCTTTGTATGTGACAAAAGTCATATTGATTCTTTGTTATTTTAGAAATAAACCTATTTTCAATGTTAATTATTATTATTATTATTATTATTATTATTTCTAACTATGTGTGTATTATTTGTCATTTAATAAGTTTGTATAAATTTATTTCTAACAAACATAATTTAAGAGTTTGATTTTTTAAAAATAAGTGAGTATTTATTTAAATAAATTTAAAAACTAAGAAATTATATATATACATTCTATAAGAATTTTTACTACATCAAAAAACTTATATTTATGAAAAAATTAATAAAAATAGAAGATAACATATGCGAACTTAAATGCAAAAAAATTAATTAATTAATTCTATTCAATAATATAATTAGCAATAGTATTAACTAGTTTTAAAGGATTTTTTGAATAATTTTATTGTTTAATATAAAACATAAGAACGTCTTTTAATTTTTTTTAAAGAAATTTAATCGTATAAGATCTAAAATTTGAAAATTTATCAACTAAATAAAACCTATTATTAAATTTAAACTATATAATTATCTAACATTGATATTATAAGTTAGGTTTATTATAAATTTGCTAAATAAAAAATATATTACCTTAGTTTCTATCATTTATAAAATAAAATATCAAAAATTAGACAAATTAGTAGTATTTATAGAAAAATCACAGTATATATATATACACATAGACAAAAGTATTATGTAGTTTTTCAAAGGAACATTTGTATTTGTATATGATTTATAATTTTTCTTTCTTGTAATTAATATCAAGTAGAATAATTTCTAATTTAATAGCCAATTTTATATATAAATTACAACATGATGCAAAAACATTAATTCCTAATTTTCTTTATTTTTGAATATTGAACCAAAAAGTTAATTTCAAAGTCAGATATGACAATTTGTTATTAATATTTTTTTAAAAAATACATGTTGGCAATTTTATTTTTATTTTTATAATTTTCTATAACTTATTAAGTTTCAAAAATCAACAATAAAAGATATGTAAATTATCATATAAAATTTAAAACTCTTGTAATATATAAAATATCATCATTGTTTAGTTTTTTGGTATATCTAGTTATAAAACAATGAAATGTATTCTAATTAATATTTTTCAATATAAAAACTAAATCTAAACCTTATATAATACCAAAAATATAATCACATTAGAAGATAAAAATTTATAAAGATAATTAATATAATTATGATAAATTTTATGCAAATAGTTTTTTTTACAATATCATCTTATAATATTCTTATATTATCATCTAAACCTTGTCTATAATCTAAAATTTAAAATCTTTAATCTTATATTAATCTAATAAGATTTTAAAAGTATTTTTTTTAAACAATAGATTCACTAAATTTACAAAGCATCATCAATAAAATTAAAATAAAACTAGCATTTGTAAGAATTATAGATTAACAAATTTTGTCTTTAAGAGATATTATTTATAACTTCTTTATATTAAAAGTGATTAAAAATGGTCATAAAAATATATTAATATTTAATAGGCTCAAGCTACAAGAACACCTCAAATTGCTATATATATACCAAAGGCCTCTAATTGGCTACTTTAGATTCCTTCTTCTTTGTCCTAGTATTGATTCCAAACAACCTTCTTTTATTCTTTGTCCCATCAACAAGAGTAGGAAGTTGGGGAGGAAATCCAAGACTTGCACTAAGATAAAGAAGAAGGGGAGGAGAGGACTAGGATCTATATTAAGACAAGAAGGAGTCTAGAGTAGGCAATTAGAGACCTTCAATGTGTGTATTGATATAATTGGTGTTTGTATAGCAATTTGTAGTGTACTTGTAGTCTAAGTTTGTTTAATGTTATTATATGATAAGTTAATCATACAATTTTAGGCTTATTGCATACACAATGCATGGCATATTTAAGGATACTTATTTAATATTGCATGGTTCATAAGATTTATTGCATTGCATGGCATATCTCAAGATACTTATTGAACCAACTTCTATTTATATGAAGTTTTTTTGATATTTTTTAATCAAAAAAATGTATTATTGACCAACTTATATTTCTACTTACTTCTACCAATTTTTATTTATTTATATTTATTTCAAAAACACAAGTAATTATTTTCAAAAAATCATAGAATAAGTTGATTATTTTTTAAAAAGAAATTAACAATAGTCTTTCAAAATAACTAAAAGATATAAAAATGTTTTGACAGAACACCAATCTTGAAATACCTGATAAATACAAATGCACATGTCAAAATAATTTCATACAAAAAAATATAAAAAAGAATACAAGTGCACTTGTCAAATACGAAAGTATACAAAAAGAATACAAGTGAACACAAAAGAAATCAAGTACATTTGTATTCACATTTTCATAAAAGATATATTAAAAATGACTTGACAAATGCACCTATCCATATTTGTCTTCACCTTTAAATAATGAAAAGGTGGATACAAATATGTGTTAAATATCGTGAACTGTGCATCTTGTGCATTAAAGCGAAAAGAAAGAAACAAAACTAGAAGGAAAACTGGGGAATGTTATGAGCGAAGCACATTATTTCGTGAGCCGCGTGCGCCAGCTGCCGCGAGGCGAGCCGCACGCAGAGCGAAGGAGAAGACGAAGCTGGGGATGGTGAAGCCAGTGAATTGGGATCCATGGCCACGATGTCGAAGCTGGGTTTGCTTGCTTTCTGGTGTGCTAGCCAGGCAATGTGGTGGTGGTGGTGATGCAGAATCCATGACGCTACAGCAGCGTCGCACTACTAAACGTAGCATCCTCGCATCCCACAGAATCAGATAATTCCCACTTTCTATTCCTATCATGCTGACTCCTGCTTCACGTCACAGTCTTGGATCTGTTATCGTCAGTTTCCTGTTCAGTTGTGGGCTCGACTTCGGAGCTGGAACCTCGGAGACAGCACCATGAAAAACTTGTCATTACGAAGGTTTTTTTTGTGATAGTTCGCTTTCTGAGCGGTGCAGAGGGTTGGCAGAGTAGGGCGGGATTCTGATTCCCCATACTGCAGCGTGTTCATGTGCTGTTGCGGTGCCTGGCGATATGGTGTTCACACAATGGGTTCGTTTTGCGGCCTTGGCAATTCCGGAGGATGTGAGAAACGCACTTGGGGTGGTGTTACTTGCTTTTGTTGCTAGTGCGATCGTGAGAGTTGTGTTTTCGTTGGTGAAAACGTACTTGTATGATCCGCTGAGCATAGGGCGCATCATGGCGAAGCAAGGGATTGAAGGACCCCCTTTCCACCCGATCTTTGGCACCACGGCTGAATTGAACGCGTATGTCAAGTCGGTTCCTGAGTCTTTGCCTCTTGATGAAGACCACGACTCGATGCGGACCGTCAGCCCTCATTTTCACATGTATTTTCCCAAATTCGGTGAGTTTGCACATTGTACGATTCATATAGGCTGGTTATGGCCTCATTTTGGAATTCGTTGAATGAGGGACAATTGAATGGGTTTTAACATTATTTTGGATCTCTGCACAGGAAAACGATTCCTGTACTGGCGAGGACCGCACGCAAAACTGGTTTCGAAAGATCCAGGTCTTGCCAAAGAGGTCCTTTTGTCGCAATATGAGTTTTTCCAGAGGCACCCTCAAGATATCAAAATGTTATCGAATTTTGTTGGCATGGGCTTGGATAACTTAACAGGTGAGAAATGGGCTATTGAGCGACGCACACTCAATCCCTTCTTTTACCACGACCCCTTAAAGGTAACTCGCACATCATCATTCCAGATATCCTCTTCATCGTACATGGTCGTGTCATAGCTGAGCACTGAAATTTGCTTCTGAACATTGAGTTGCGTGTGAGAGTGTGCGTGTGTGTGTAATTGGTTAGAACTGGTGGCACTGGCAGGGCATGGTAGAGGGCATGGTGAAAGGCGCGGAGCCGGTGTTGAAGAGCTGGGAAGAGGAGGTGGCTAGAGCAGGTGGCACAGCTGAGTTCAACTTGGAGGAGGATTTGCATACAATTTCTGGCAACATCATCGCCCACACGGCGTTCGGAACTGATCACGAAAAGGCGAAGGAGATATATCAGACGCAGAGGGAATACGTCAACCTTCTCTTTCAAAATTTACACAGCGGGTGGTACTGGATTCCAGGATTCACGTAATTAGCTCACCATCCACGCTTTCTGAACGGTTACTGAAATTGAAGCAACTTGCTCGACTGCGCTGTGGAATGAATGCTTACGAAAAGAATTCTGCAGGTATCTTCCTACACAAACGAACGTCACTATGGCGCGGTTGAGATCTACAATCGATAGTTCGCTTCACGAGCTCATCACAGAGCGGCGGAAAGCAGCGGAGCGAGGAGACACGGCGTCTTACGGTAATGATCTTCTCGGGATAATGCTAGCAGCTGCATCCAATTCCACAGATGAGACAGCTACCGAATTCAACCTTGCTTCTGTTTTCAATAACGCGAAGCTCTTCTTCTTTGCGGGGCAAGACACAGTCGCAACTGTGCTTACCTTCACACTCCTGCAGCTTGCGAGGTATCCTGAATGGCAGGATCGGGCTCGACAAGAGGTTCTCGAGGAGGTTGGCGAAACGGAAGCATATGACTCCACCACACTCAATCGACTGAAAATTGTAAGCTCACTGGATTTCCTTCCAATAAGATCCACCCTCCACGTTCTATTTTGCATTCAGTGTGAAGTGCACAATGCATTTACTTACCATGACATCGTTCAAAGCGCAGGTGGGGATGATAGTGAACGAAACCATGCGGTTGTTCCCGGCCGTCATCTCCGTCTCCAAGGTAGCCACAAAGGATATGCAAATCAACGAATTGTTCATTCCGAAAGGGCTCACAGTGGAAATCCCCATAGTATCATACAACCAAGACCCTGAGATTTGGGGAGATGATGCCCACAAGTTCAAGCCCGACAGATTCGAGCACGGTGTCTCGAAAGCTTGCAAACACCCACGTGCGTTTCTGCCGTTCAGCATGGGGCCCAAGATGTGCATAGGCAAAGAATTCGCTTTAATGGAGCTCAAACTGGTGGTTGCTATGGTGCTTCGGCGCTTTCGGCTCTCGGTGTCGCCGCATTACAAGCACCACCCTTATTCAAGCTTGTTAACAAGACCCAAGTATGGCATGAAGCTTATCTTCAGTAGCAGACAAGCATCTAAGCTTGAGCACTGAACTCGCAGTGTCGCTGCCTTCACCACACCCTTTGAAAGCTTCTTCACTCACTTTGATGAGAGCACCAAGTTTGCAAGCAACTTTGGATCTGCTGTGCACAAACACACAGACACACTCACAGACACATACTGACACACTCATTCACACAATTGAGCTCAAGAGCGGTGCTTCTGTCAACGCTGTGAATCTCATGATCTATCGCTGGTTTTGCTTCCAGCGTATGCTTCTTCATGATGCATTTAGTAGGGTGTGGTCTTCTGAGCAGTCTTCGAAACTGGGTATATATTTGTGTATATTTAAGTATGTTTTTGTATACACTTGTCTCCTTTTTCTTTGTTTCATTTGTGAGTTTTGTTTTGCTAGGTAATGGGAAAATATATCTGTGCTCTGTTGCTTGTTCATTGGTGCCTAGTTTTAAAATCATTTCTTTGTCATTTCATGGCTTGTGTTTGTTTCTTGTGCGTTAACTTAATTGGATGTCGATGAAGAATTAGGTGAAGATGAATAATAATGTACACCTATATACTTGCTTGGTGAAAAAAATTGGTAGTGTGAAACGTTGCTTTTGTTTATATTATTTTTTGTGATTGTATTTTGTGAATAAAAATATTTTAATTTTCTACAAGTGGTGAGATTTGCAATATTTTTTGGTAGAATAATACACAAGATTTAATCTATATGTACATATACTTTTATGTAACTAAAATATTAAAGAGAAGTTGGTTAGAGTTGTGAGATGAGAATTCATAGATAAATTTGTGCAAGAAAAAAGAAGAAATTGAAAAAGATCTTATAAAACTTTATGGATTGTAACATGAGAAATGATATTATGCTTGTATAGTGCAGAGATGTATATTAAACCATTATTATCAACTATTGTTGAAAGTGTTTTTGCAAAGTATCTTCTAAAGAAATTGTAATGGTCCTAAATAAGGTTGGTCAAAACATAAAAACTCTTTATGTTTTTCTTATAATTATCAAAATGTGTGTTTTGGTAACAAAAAAAATAAAAATAAAAAATAAAAACTTTATAATATTAAGAACCTTCACATAAACTTCTTTTTAAATTTAAACAAGAAGTGTATTAGAATTTATAAATTTACAAAAGTTACAAATTAATTACATTAAAGAAAAATAAACTATAATAATAAATTTGTGACTTATTTTATTAAAATTTTAAAATTATCTGCAAATATATATATATATATATATATATATATATTACTTTATAGTTCTAATTTAAATAAAGAATTACCAATACTATATCTTCAATTGATATTGCTATGTTCCACACTACTTAAATTGACAAAAAAACCTTGCTTCTATGCTTAGGACACATTTGGCAATCCTATATTTAATCCCAATATTGACCCAAAAATAGAATAAATTACAAAATAAGTTCTTTTGCGTTTTTAGAAACCAATTTTTTTTTAAATGACTTATTTTTTTTGGAAAATATTTTATTTAAAAAAAATATCTCATAATTTATGTCTTCACAAAATATTCATTGTCTCCCTCACAATTACCATACTTTCCTAAAGCAAAGAAAGGAAAAAATGTACAAAAGTAAATGGCATATTATTAGCTAGTTGTCTACATAGCAATATCAATTGGAGATATAGCATTAATAATTCACTTTAAATATCATTTTTTTTTTATTATTTAATTTTGTATCTTGTTGAAACATAAAACAATTGTCCAAAATTTTATGAAATTAACAAAAATCAATCATTTATTAAATTTAGTGCATGTGACTTGCAGTTTTATTGCTATTTTTTTCCATCTTCACAAAATAAGAACAAAGTTATTTAGTATATTAATTTAAATTACATATATTTTTTATTTACAATAATATCAATTTTGTTTAGATCCAGTGCTATATCGAAAACATTTACCATATTCAGCAAAAAAATAAAAGTAAAAAAGTAAAAAAGATAAAAGTGTACAAATACAATTTCTTGAAAAATAAAAATAAAAAACACTATCCAAACTTCTAATACATAGTTGTTATGTAAGATTAAAATCAAAATATTCACTGGAAGGATTGACATGTACAAATACACTTTTAATAGGAAGAATAAAATAGTAGAAAATTCTAAAACTATTTATTAGTAGGAAAATATCACGTTTAAACATATTTAAAAATAAATTAAGAAAACTATGATCTCAAATAGAACCTACCCACACACACTACCCATCAGCACTAACCCTTGCCCAAAAAATCACAAAATATAGGCATAAACATTACATGACCAGTTTCTTCTGAATACAGCTGGGACAAGTATTCCATCTGCTGAAATAAAGTAAAATTAGAATAAAAACATACATAACTTACTCATACGTAGTTTAGACACCATGACGTTAACGAAACATGTTGCTTCTTGCTCCAATCCTTGCAGTTTTAGTGCCATTATTTTGCATTTGTCTGCAGTAAAGATTTCTGCATTGCTAACACAAACAGTCAGACTAAGCATCACATCTGCTGGGTCTTGGTCACCATGGAATTATCTATTCTAATCGACAGTTGTTTGAGTGCAAGTTAATTCATCCCTTTTCTTTTCAAATGTTTCATGATCCTCCATCAAATGCTGATTTCTTTTAAGGAAAATAATGGACAAGCATCAATAAGAGGCAAGCATATTAAAAAGCAAGCTGAACTTTAGTCGCTTTTTTGATTATGAGAGTGAACTAAACCATGATCAAGGACCATGTCATCTTCATTCTTCCTCTTCGGCTAGAGATCCTAAATTAGGAATGTCTTTGTAAAATTTCTGCACATTGTAAGCACTACCACAAAAAAAATGTAAACAACACAGAATCATCGAGTGGTTTCCAGTCGCAGATGTGAGAAGATTTGCACCATTAACAAAACAAAGCAGAGCAAGGTTTCTTGACTGAATCCACAGCCTGAGGCGTATGGCATGCCACAAAAAACTACGTGTTCTCAGAATGAAACCCTGACTATGCCACGGAATGAGACTTACTCCTTGATTGTGCGAAGCCCAACACCCATCTACGAAACCTGACACCACCTGCATCCACGAGTACTCCCAACCAAACGGTTACAATTCCGCGTGTATGCTTCTGAAAGTTGGCGTTTCCTAAAGATGAGCAGCCCGCAGTCATGCTAATCTCGAAGCCCGGGCAGATCCATTTTCAATGACAGAGGCTTCTGAGATATTTGTTGGCCATGACTTCGTCACATGCACATCTTCTGTAGAATGTCATGAACACGGAGACTAATGCAATGCAAAGCTCAAGTGCCTTGACCCGAAAATCAGCCTAGAGGTAAAGATTGGGTCAAACCTCATGTGACATGTTTTACGCCTGTCTGAGATGAACAACGACCCGGAGCACACGCCGATTCCATATTGCAGAACATGGCGACTCAGTTTTCTACAAACATCCTTATGTGGTTCCGATTGTAATGCTCAGAGACGCTCCAAAGACGAATCACTGACAGGACGGAGGATTTTATAATGGCCAAGATCAACTGTAGAAATTCTGTCCAGCTGAATGTTGAGATCTTTACCCTTTCTCCGACGATGGCGCCAATCATGATCACTGAGACATAGACAGAGTTCTTTCGAGTGAAGGCACGATATATCTGCTCTGCCACAGACTCACTCTGAAATCGCCCCATGCCTGACAGCTACAAGATAAGTGCAACACGCTCGCTATGATAAACCTAGCAGGATGGATGTGGGAAATGCAAGTAAACTCGGAAGAATCAGTAACCGCGTTTGGTCTATGAAGTGGTCTAGTATCGTGAAAATGTGGAAATCCAAGGAGAGCAGGCCAGAGAGATGTTATGAGACGGTTAGCTGGAAAGGGCAACTACCCATCTCAATCTGGTCGATTCACCATTCTCTAATTCAATTAGTGAGGTTCAGACGTCCATGCTTTCGCGCTCAATACATTCACCCAATTGAGCGCCCAAATGATTTGGCTGGTTGTTGTCTGGAGTGATCAAGTGTAGCGCCAGCATTCCGTTTGGATATATGGCAAACCCCCCACATGCTTAGTAATAGCGGTTTGCTCAGCTTTGACAGTGAGCCGTTGTGCTTCACAGAAATGTTAGGTGAGCCTGCTCTGCAATAATTCATGCATAGAAGAGAGAAAATAGTGGGTTCTCTTTAGTTTTGATTATAAGGTGCCTTATTTTGATGAGAAAGATTAGAGAGTTACATGAATTAGGAGAGTAGGCGCAGTGCTTGGTAGTGTTACTTGACCAATCCCTTCTTTGTGTTCGTCAATATTCATGAGATCGGAGTTCGTGGTCATGTTTTTCATGTACATTACGAAGGTCGAGTGAGCGTCTTGATTGAGGTCGAAGTTAAAAGATCTGGAGAGCTGTCGCATTGAAGCTCCAACTCTACCAACTGAATTGGTTGCCAGTGAAAGGTACTGAATCGAGATAGAGATTCAACCAGTTAGTGAGGACGGCTATGGGATTCGCAATTATCTGAAGTATCTTTTGAAGGAACAGTGGGCATCACGTACCACTTTTATCAATGCATTTAGTAAAACCAATTGCGCAGGGTAACAAAGTAATCAGTGACCAAACTAGGTTGGTTGATAACAGATAGCCCCAGATCACAGTTTAAGTTGAAGCAGAAAGCAACAACAGATCAATGCTGTATTGAATGATTTGCTTGAAACTTACACATTCTTCTTAGCATCAAAACAAGGGAAAGCAGCTCTGATCACGCCGAATGTGCCATTGTATGAATTTATTACATGGTGATTAAAGAAAGGAATAGTTATCAACACATGCCATGCCTCACAACTTTACAGTTCGAGCATTTCGGAATTCAGTGATGGAATTGTAAAGAGCTACCTGCATTGCCGAAACTAGGAAGCGCAGAATTTAGTAAGTTATGGCAAGAATAATTATAAATAAAATTCAAACTACATGTCAAAGCTTGTATGCAAAAGTGTGATGTGATCTGCCAATGCTACATTACACACCAAAGGAAATGTGATCCGACAATTGGTTGCCTCGTTGTGGAAAAAATAAATAAATAAAATAAAATAAAAATCTAGTCAATGAAAACATTAATCTTAGATGAGTATCAAAGCAATATTTATGTAAAATCAACAAGTAGCGCAAGACTAATTTAGCATGGAAGTGAGAATTATGAAATGGGTAAAAAAAATAATCTTGCTATATTTCTTAACCTTGCTTTATTTCTGTCTTTTGTAATTTTGAAACAAAGCAAGAGGTTTAAGAGAAGTAGGTTCGAAGCACTAAAACCTCTTTCAGTACTTTTTTCTGGACCCCAACATATTTTCATCCACTGTACTCTGCTTTTGCACTCTGCTTTTTTATTCTACTTTTAGAATAAATGAAACGTCAATACATTGATGAAATTGAAATGGGAAGATAAAAATGTTGAGTGGAGCACAAACAGAAGATGCCTAAGTGCTTGTTTCCATGAGCTTATACCGCTTTTCTTGCATTCCTGCTACTCCCATTTGAATCTCGATAATAGTATGCAATGGCACCTGCATCCGAACAGCTACAATCTCAGAACCAAAGCCAAACCTATTTCTCCATCCTAGCCTCTCCTCATCAGCTAGCAATCAGATACGAACTCCTCGGAATAGAATCATGTACATATTGCACAGATGAGAATGTGAACCTGAATATGAGGCACTTCCTTCAGAGGTTTGTCCATAAAGTAAGCATATAACGAGCGAAGGATTGCCTGGTGGCAAATTGTCACATGGCACAAATATTAAGTCAATAACTGATATTTTTTCGTAATAATATAACAATGAAAGTTGCTGGAGTACTGCATTCTTTCAAAATATCCCACAAGATTAAACGTTCATGTCCCCAGACGCCTGGCTAAAGCAGTTTGGTAAGGAAAGTGCAAAGACAGTGCACGGAGACATATACTTGATGTGCAATGACTACCACCGGTGAGCGTTGTCTCTCAAGCTCCACAATGACAGGCTCGACCCTGCAGGAAGCCCATGGTAATCATCAGATACTACGGGGCGTGCAATAACCAGCTCAGGAGAAAGCATCACTAATGTTTCCTATCTAAATTTAATTGCAGTTCATAGACTTACCTTTGAATGACGTCCAAATAAGATTCACCGCGAGGATAACGGTACCGGAGTTTATCTGCCTTGCGTGCTCTGAAACACACTTAAATCAGAACCATATTAAAATGGAATCGGAAAGAGGAAGGATTCTGAATCTACAAACGTTTAATCGAAGGTTTGATCAGTAGTAGTTCTGAATTACACAAAGATTCAATGAAAGGTTTGAACCATCAATATTATTTAAGCACTGCTAGTTTCACAAGATTGAGTTTCTTAGTCTTGTTACATCAGGAATAACTAATGAGTAGAGATGTAGATGGAGGATACAGATGATATAAAATTATGTGTAGTGGTGATACATGTAAGAGCATCGTTTCTTACGAGTATTCTTCTGGCATATGTTGCTTGATCTCCTCATAAGTCATTCCATCGCAAACACCTGCATTAATTTCATCTAGCACTCGCCATTGAACCTGCAAGCTCCCCAAAAAACAGCAACAAATGATATTCCTGCGCGAGGTGTCTTTCTCGTAAAAGTTTGACATTGGATTGCTTACCACAGTAGCGCACAACTTCAAAAATGATTACCACTAACACTGATTCAAAACAATTTCAATCAAAACTCAAGGAGCGATTCATAAGGCATCATTAACTTTTCAGAAAACGAATAGTTCTACGGCTCGTAACTCGTTACAGCAAATGTGCTTTGCTCGAGAATACTTACTTTTGGAAATTCTTCGATGTGCCTTGCCGTGATACCTGTCCTTTGCAAAGTGCTTGTCCAAATCTGCGAGACAGAGTGTTGTTAGTACAATTTAAGTATAATCTATGAAGACATGCACCTGGTGTCTCAAAATGCTGACGTAGACATATACATACTGCAGATACCATCTGTAAGAAGTAAAAAATGAGATTGTTACAGAAGCAGCCGACTCGTTCTTCAGTCGCTTGTGCACAAAATCAGCCAGCTTAAGCGCATACTTTTCCCCAGCTTCGCTGCAGTCAAGAAACTAAAGGTCATTCACGTTACGAGACCTGTCCTATAATGTTTCGAAGTCTCATAGGCAGCCTTGTTATCATCATGCATGCTTTGCTTTGCCACAGACTGGGGCTTAAGTCTTAATGATGTTAGAGCATTCTTTAAGATTGACGATCTAAGCTCCATGAACCATGCTTGGTTTCATCCAAGAGTGTCTGACTTCCACCTTTCAATTTAATCGTTACGGCATGATTATCGACACCATGTGAGCTTTAAAAGCAGCTGGAACGTTCTAAGAATTGGAAGGCACATCTACCAGAGAAGGAAATCCACCAAAAAAATTATGCAGTCAATGATACTCTGGGGGGAACACACAAGGTCAAGAAAGTACCTAAGTACAGGATCTCCTCCAATACGACCCCTCACATTATCCTCACTTTCACCATGTCGAGTAAGAAATATTGGCCGTGGAGTGATATGAGTATTGACCTAAAAATACAATACTGTCGTTAATACAATTTCAATACAACTTCAGGGTTACGCCTTGCTTGGACTACCATGATGTTATGGTATTGGGGAGAACAAGAGCACAAGAGGTCTTACCAAAAAGAACACGATACGGCCAGGGAGATACCCACTTATATTGCTCACCTACATATCCAGACACAATATGATCAATGTCCACCAATCTGAACCAGTATCTCAGAAAATCTAATCAATGGAGAGAACTTATTACGAAAGTCTGACTTTCCTTAAGACTGTGTGAAAACGATCAGCAAAAGGAGAGCGTAAGCTTACTTGCACATGACCGCCCTGTCCCCTGACCATGTCAATCAATTTTATGTACGAACCCTCAGTAACTGGTTCATACATCTGCAACGGCACGAGGATTAGAATCGTAATGACAGAGGCTGAATTATGGAAGTTCACTTGAAATATATCTGTTAAGACTTCTTCGAAACGTGCTGAGAAAAATGATAGTGGAGCACGTTACAGTTAGGTCGTTTACTTTTTCGTAGTGGTCAAGCCGGGTTCTGAAGTCTTCGAGAGCAGTTTCATAGTCGGGCCTGTCATGATAGACATCATTCACAACCATCAAATATTAGCTAGGAAGGTTACGAAGTATTAGTATGATAAATGCGATTTCAGCACGTGAAGAGTTAGCGTGCACATCACTTCATTTGTAGAAGTAATGTATTCTTCGCATCTGTGCATTCTCTCCAATAATCTAGTGCAAGCGGCAACTCACATGTCAGCATAGTCCGGACTTCCAGTACTCTTTAGCTCAATATTAGCCTCAATCACTGCACGGTCGTTGCAAATTATCTCCAAGAAGATCACCTGTAAAAAGTTTGCATAGATACTCGTGAAGTGAATAATTACAGTAATTGTTTCTAGCCACATGTATCAATGTGATTAAACATCAAATTTAAGTATGGTGAACAAAAATCTCGGATTAAAATCACTCCTCGTCTTCTTCATTGGTAGCTGTGTGCAAACAACTGGGTATTCATATTGAAACTCACGGGAAAAGAAGAGTTGTATTCACGTGGAGTTTTAAAAGATACCAAAGAAAATAAACATCGATCGCTGTTCAAACCGTCAGGGAAAACTCAGGGTACGCTGGAACGTGTCTAAACATATCTAAACGTGGACGGGATAATATTGTTCACCTTGCATTTGCCTTCAGCCAAACTCAATAACAAGTTCCGACGGGCTTTTGTACTATTAGTGGCATCAAAGACACCAACCTGAAGTCATCCACAAAAGTTATTAGTACTCTTAAAGATCACAGATTCCCTCATCAAGAAAATATTCGTCAGTGCGCAAACTTAAACGATTCACGTTTTTGAGATTATTATGCTATGGCCATATTAGATCCTAGGATAATAATTGGATCATTGATCAACTCAAGTTGAACTCGGGAGCTACCAGACACCCTCTCTCATGCTGACATTTGTTCAGAAAAGGAAAAAACGAAATTACATCAGAAAAGAAAAGAACTGCCGCAAGACGTCGAGTTTCAATAAAAGCACAAGTCTCTACTCAAGAAAAGTAAAAAGAACACAAAGTAGATTGCAGTCACCTGTCCTCCTTCATCCATCCATGCTAGCATATCCTCCATAGCCAGGACTGCAACCTTCACAACTCAGATCTTGTTGAATCAGTCACATAAACATCACCAATAGGAGATGAAAGGAAACTGCTACACTGTCTCCCAAATGTAACGCCATGAGAGTATCATCAATACTAATGTCATTCTGAGACTATCAAAAACATACCAATCAATCAAACAATTCTTATCTAGTCCAATCAACATTCGTCCAAGCACACATGCTATTCGAAAATAAAACGCACGGGAAACCTGAATAAAAAGGGGTCTATGGTTTTTATAATAATTGTTTTACCTCGTTTCTTGCTTCAATACCTTGTTGATTATCACCCCGAAAAAATTCCGCAGTCTGACATATGCCTGATAATTTGTGAGCACTGGAAGGGCAGCACTGTTCTAATGATAACATGACATGAATAGACCAAAGTTTGGCGTTTTCAATGACCAAAGAACAATATTTTAAGTCCAGTAGCAGATTCACTAGGTCCCCAAAGTGGTTCTCACCTGGTTACGCCCATGCTTCAAGCGTCGATACTGGTTCATCGCAATGAAGAAGTTAATTGTCGATCAATACTCAGGATTTCAGTGATTCCAGAGAAATTTAAATAGCTAAAAGGCGGCGAGAACCTCGCAGCCCTCGGACATACAATTCATCACACAATCGAGAGTTTCGTCATCAAACTCTGAAGAACTGAAAAGCCCTTGATCAAGATAGAAGGTAGACCACCCCTCAAAGTCTTTGGGGACTCATTCGAGTGCAAAATTACGTGTAAGAAATCTTAAAGCACACCCGTCCGAAAAATATATGAAATTTATGAAACAAATCGATGTAGGCCTAGTGCGAAGCGTTAACGTAAGTTCATTCGACCAAAAATTCTGAAAAACCATGATGAGACCAGGATTTGCTGTGAGTTACGGTTCCCTACTGCTACGAGGATTCCAACTAGACTATTATTCAGAATTTACATAACACATACGAAAACATACGCCCATGACTAAACACCAGAACCAAGTAGACAATGACTGTCCCCCTCACAATAGTTAAAGCTCAAAATACTACTTTCACTGTCTACTAATGAGCAGACTAAGCTTACCTTTCCAACATTGAAGTGTTTGGTATCATGGCCAAGCCACCTGAGATATCTCGTCAGCTTAGCTGCTGTAAAAGTCTTCCCTCGAGCAGGTAGGCCAACCTGAATCCACCATGACAAGTTCAGTATGTAACATGCTTGAAGAAGCTATGATATTTTCAAGCAGTCGAACTTAAGCTTGTAATGTAAGAAGTTCGTTGTAAGTAATATTAGAAAGTGATGAGGTCAAATGTAATTCACTGACAATCGTTGATATCTAGACCTGCTTGACATTATTGAGCGCATGTGTTCTGAAGGAGAAAGTTATGATTGGAACTATGCAGAGATTTCACCATAGAATGTTATGGTTTCAACTACCAAATTTCTAGTATGTCGCTTTAGCGAGGTCAATCTGAGAACTGAGAAGAGCACGAAAAGCGGATGCATACCAGAATGATTGCTAGCTGGCCACGTTCCTTGGACCCCAACATATGGTCGGCAACAGCTCCAGCAGCTACAGCACCAGCGGCTTCTGGCATGGCCTACACAAGCCAAACTTGACCATCATCATCATCCACCACATTCTATGAGTGTAGGAAGAGATTATAAGTATCGTTCAATCAACACCAGTCATGGCTGGCCATAGCCATTAGAATCAGAAAGTACAAGGTTGACATCTGGACGAGCTCTGGTAAAACCACTAAATATGAAGCTTTGTAGTCCCGCCTACCCCAATCACACTTTCCAAATGAGCATCGCCATCGGTCTCACTGGAAATACTGACAACTCTTGAAAGAGGACCGACAACTATCTCAGTTTTATCCAATTCAGCTCCATTTGATAAGTTTTGGGTTGATTGCTTATCAGCTGCCTCAGATTCCGTCTCCAACGGCACCAGGTCCTGCTCAAAAATGACACATATCCATTAGGCGTGGTCATAATTCGCTTGACCTCCTTCTTCAAAGTGCTTTCCATATACGGCTCTAATTTGAGTTGAGAAGGGAGATTGTGTAACACATAAATAAATCAGACCATCTAAACGACGACAAACAGACCAGGAAGAAGAAAAAAAAAAAAAAAAAAAAAAAAAAGCACGCACCTTGATAGGAACAAAGCGATCTTTGAGAACAGCTTTCCTTGCTATTTCTGCAGAATTCCTACGCGTTGAAACACTTTTATCTCCGCCTCTAATCCTGAAAAGGCTACTTTCTCCATAAAATGGAGCAGGAAGAGAGAATGAACGCTGCAAAGTAGTAGAATCAGGTGTACTAGGAAAGGCGTCCTGCGATGCAGAATCTGAAATTGCATCTGGCGTAGGCACCTCATACTGCTCTAAATCCAGCTCAAGAGCCTGTGCTTTCTTTTCAATTTCGCTTGAAGCTACAGGATATTCTCCTTCCACAGCAACGTCCGGAATTCCCAATACCATCGAGCCATGGGACTGTAAGTTCTTTCTAAGAGATCTCCAGCTTGAAGCAAGAGCAAATGGGGAAACTGAGTCAGCTTGAATACTAACAGCAAGTTGCAGTAACTGTATTCCATTCTTCGTGGGGAATTTAAATTGAGCAGTGGGACCAGCCTTCCCCTCCATAGTGCCTGCCTGAAGCATTCTATTTGCTCCCTCTTCAAGGATGCATACATTTCCGTCACCAGTACTTTTAAGAAGAAACTTAAAATCCAGTAATCCTGCAAAATTCAAGACTTCACAATCAAAATCTCAATACCAATTTTGTACTCTTGGAAATCAAAATATTGCATGGAAAAGACAGAAACCGATTCAAGTCCGTGTATCCTGATGAAATTGTGGAACATACATGTAAGACGCACACTCCACCACAGCACGCGCCTCATGTGTGGTGCACACGTAATAGAATACAACAGAAATACATTTGCAGGAAACAATTAAAATACCACCAGCAAGGCAGGCTAGTGTGTGCTGAAAAAGAACCATGATCACCGGGCACAACGAAACTAAGCTCCCATGCACTTGTTGACTCACGCTCCAGTGCAATCTGGACAAAGACAGTCAATTATCGCAACCGGTGAATTTGCATCATACGTGTGGACACTAATTTGCATGTGAAGTCTTACCTCAGATATACGATCGAAAATCTATTACACACATTCGTTAAAATCTACAAAAGAAATATAAAATTGGGAATGGATTGATCCTTGAGGATACAACCAACAATCTTGACATATTAGACAAGCTTCGCAGCAAATCAGGCCTTCTAAACTAAATCAGTCACCCTGTATGCATAAAAGAAATGAAAGTTTGTCTTTATAGAGCTCACTTACAGCCTTTGCCTCGTCCCAGCCACCTATGATCGGCAGAGAGCCAACGACATGAGGTACAAAATCCAATGGCCAGGGCTGGTTGTCCGGCTTGTTCATCTTCAAGACCACGAACAACTGATGCCCTAAATGAACCACTTCATCGCTACTTGCGGTCACCGGCTGAGATGATCCGCCGTTACCCATGTTGCAATATATTTTCAAAATCCCAGATCACTTCATTTGAACTAAGGATCAATACGACTGGATGGTTTTCGAAGGTTGCTACTACTGAGACTATTTGTCCAGTTACTTGCCACCCAGATGTGAAGCTTGTTGTCTGAGAGAGAAAATGGTGTGCAACGATTGTTGTATCCCTTGTAATTGGATAGTCCGGGAAAGCGCAGACTCATATATTCGTTATCCTGAAAAGTGCAGTTGTACACAACTAACAGTCAAATTCACTAAACGTCTATTGTATCCTCTACTTATGCTGAAAGTACGATGTTTGACAAGAAGAGCGTCGACGTTGTACCTATTATAAGGTGTAAGAAAGCCTCGCAATAACATTAACACGGGCCTCTCCCTCTCTAGAAACTTGAAGCATTACGTCTGCAACTTGAAATATGACGCGCGTGTATGTCAACATTTGGCCAGTTGGGCTCACATTCGACATCAATGACAGAAATACGGGCACAGACCAGCACACGTGATGGAAAGCCATGGCCAAAATCTGTGAGTGAGCCAATGCAAATATCAGCACTCTCCCATGCACTCGGTCCATTGACTACCTCATACATGACGCTCTACACAAGTGACGACTTTTTAAGTAGGTATTCACAAGAATGCAGCTACGAAGGCTTAAAAAAATATCATGGGCGACCAAATACCCAACCCCTCCAGTTACCAATTGAGAGCAGCTTAATTCTTGTATTGGTCCATGATGACTCAATCCTCAAAGAAGCGCCAAGCTCATCCCGCATACACTACCAGCATTATAACAAAGGTACGACGAATCCCATCATCAACAATTACACAAAACAAAGAACGCTTGTCATGTCCAAACAGCGCCGCGACCCATCGTAACCAGCGCTTACACCACAACCACCTCACGTAATCCAAAACCCCCCTATAAAAACATGCACACAATTGCACCAAACACGATCACGCTAAGAAATCCGAAGCTCTCTGGGGGAGAAACCTGATTCGAAGCTCACCGTGAGCCTCTCACCAGGGAAGTTGACCCCGACCGAAAGTTGTTTCCAACTCTAGGACGTTCTCCAAACGGTTTTCGTGACGTTGTCGCCCTGATGAGAACACCATGAACCCAAATTAAACGAGATCGTCAGCAGGTGGTTGAAGGATGTCGAGAAGTGCGGGATAAGAAGCGCATGGCCTCCGCTTCCGCGCAAGGCGAGAAAGAAGAGCTTGGCGCCCCCTGCTTTTCACCGCCGTGAGAACTCTTGTTTCGTTCATTTTCGAGAATTTTGGTTTTACTCATGAGATACTGGAACGGGTCATTTGCCCACTTGTGCGGCCATTCGTGGCTGTCGAGCAACACAAACTCGACAGCCCCAAACAAGCATCGCGGATATCGCCGAAGATGCTGCGTCGGTAGAATTGCAACAACAGGAGCCTCTCGAGATGGGACCAAACAGTGTGCCGGAAGGATGAATGAGGTGTGGATGATGATGTCAAATGGATGTATGTATCTAATGTTCACGAATGAATACTCTACATCTAGGACGAAATTTTTCATTCGTTCATTCATGCTGCTTGCTGAGAAGACTGAAGAGACTGGGGGAACAATTTATCGGAGGGGTTTTAGAGGTGCTTTCAAACTTTTCTTCATCTTCCTTTTTGTCTTCCTTGCTTATTGTTTGTACAGTGTGCATTAAATGTGATTCTGACGTGGCATGTAGTGTAAATAAATAAATGAAATCAAGGTGTGTTGTGTGTAGAATATTTTATGGTTCCCTACTTTCTCTTTCATTTGCAATGGTTGAAGCATAATAGGTACCCAACTGGCACCTCATATTGGATGCATAGATTATCCAAATGACTTGTTTCTCCATAATGTTTTAATAAACCCTAATTCTGAAGCACTTAATCATGTCTAATTGATTTTATATGTATTTGTACTACCATCCATTCTCTCATTCATTCATATTCCATTGTTTCCATGTTTGGCCAATCAAAAGATTTCTTTTATCTCTTTGTCTTTATGCCCAAACTGTTTTATATAATAGATAGATATATCTCTATTCAAGTATATTTTTTCACAGCATATGTTGTGCATCTTCTGCTAATTTAGATTCTTGGCATCTAAAGAACATGTAAGAATACAAAGTAAAGTGCTTGACTTGCAACACCCCAACGAGAGAAAAAAACAACAATATTCAAAAGAATACATCTTACATTTATGGAGACCTAAAATTGTTTAAAAAATCTTTGAATAGAGGTGCCATGTGTTTCAAGCATGCCAAGTGCTCAAAATCTCCATATATAAGTTGGTGAATTGATTATTCTTTCAAATCTACTTACAATTCTTGACCCAATCACTTTTGTTTCTATCCTAAAAAAATTGGAGCATACACAACGTTATTTTTTATTTTTTATTTTTTCATAGATAGATAGATAGATTTATTTATTTGAATTAAGAGAATAATCAAAGTCTCTTGACTCCCTTCCACATCTTTCTATCTATGTTTTTATCTATTTATAGTAGTCCCTCCCTCATTTTAAATTAACTTATTCTGGAGGGTAGCAGCTCAAAATAGAATCAACAAAACCAACAGAATCAAGTCCCCCCCCCCATTGGAGAAGAACATCACAAGCAAGCAGCGAAGTTGGAAGCGAGCACACATTCTGATCTAGCTCATAGATGAAGAAGAAGAAGAAGAAGAAGAAAAGTAAAGGTAAAAGGCACAAAGGTGGAAAAAGTAAAAAGGAACAGTGGGGGAGGGGTTTTGAGGCTCCTGCGCCTCGCGGTGGTGTGGCATCGCATCGCTGCATCGCCCCCGTTACTCGCATGCGTGCGCGCGGATTTTCGGCGATGGCTGGAGGGTGAAGAATACACACAGAGACAGAGAGAAAGAGAGAGAGAGAGAGAGAGAGAGAGGGAGGGAGTGGAGGTGAGAAGAGCAGACAGAATCGGGAGGGAGGGAGGTTGAGAATGTGGGCGGCAGCGGCGGGGCGTCGAGTCGCGAGCGTTGTGCTGAGGCGCTCGTGGGAGTCGCTGTGCACGCAGGGACAAAGGGCACTCTTCACTGCGGGATTCAGAGAATGCGAGGATCGCAGTGACAATGATCGGATGCGGGAGCGGGGAGGAGCTGCGGAGGTGATTGCGCGTGGGTGGCAGGTTAGCCCTGAGAGTGAAAGCGATTGGCGGAGCCATGCAGCTGCTGTGGCTCGGTCTATCGATCTCATCAAAGCTCGCCTTGAGGTGATTTGGTTTGCGACCGCCCTGTCAGGACTTGGGTTTTTGCGCATTGGTTTTTTTGGGCTGGGTGCGATGTCCTCTGTTCCCAGCGCTATGCTCTTGTGTAGTCTTCTTCAGCAATTTGGACAATTATGTTTGTTGAAGGCCTCGATTAAGTCTCTAGAATTTGAGGATGACATCTGAGGCACGAGGTCATTGTTCTTCTGTGTGAATCTGTATTACATATCATGCACAGTTCTCATTCACACCCGGATAGGAAACTGATTGCACCCAACATCTGAGAAGGTTTCGTCACTGGATCATAGGTCCTTTGGACGATCTCATGGTATTCGTGGGGATGGGCCGGTGGCTTCCTGTAGGGTTTAGGGTTTATGGCCAACACCTGTGAAAAAAAGAAATTTGGCTTTTTCCTTTTGGCAGAAGATTACAAACGTCAACATTGTTAGATGGGTGTATGCGTACAATAATTCCACCATCGTAACATTGGCACATTTTGAGTCACGAACCCAATGAACACTTGCTTACTTTATTTGTGTGTTCATTTATTTTCAATTTACTTTGAACTGTGATTAGTTTTCTTTGCACAAGGCATTTCCAAAATTCCATGCCTATATCAATTTCCGTTTGACGTACAATTCTCATTCACACCCGGCGAATTTTTCAGATTTTTGAGTATTTCTCTTCGTTGCTATGCTGTGCTCTGCTTTGTGTAGTGGAAAAAACTGCTTGCCAGGGTTCAGGAGTTGGACGTCGAATTAGCAAAGCCAAATCTATGGGAAAATGCTGCTAAAGCTGGCCAGTTTAGCCGAGAGAGAGGTGCGCTGTCAGGTCAAGTGAAGTCTGTGATCAGTATGGAAGACGAGTTGCTTGAGCATGTTGGACTTGCAGAGCTTGCCCACGAAGAGAATGATACTCAAGTAGTCACAGTAAGTGAGTGTCCTCTTCAGCATTGTCTGTCCTATAGTTTGAGCGTGTATACAATAGATTCCAAATTAATTTACTTCTATATTGCCTCAAGGCCAAGGTATCTGAGAATGGAAGAAAACCTTCCAGTCTGACAGCTGAATCGCAAAACAGAGCCAGATATCAATCACGTTTTCGTAATACCATGGTGTGTGTGTGTGTGTGTAGATTATTGTTTGGGCCTTCTTTATAGTGTGGTAATATGGTCTTCTAGTGACTGCTTTTGTTTTTGAAATATCGGTTACTCTACCAATCAAGTACCTATAATTGAAAAGTTATGAATAGTTGGAATTGCCTGACTTTGCTAGGTGATGTAAAATCATCTCATCAGCATGAAGATACCGTCTGTTTGTGCTGGAAAATAGTTTGGGTTTATTTACGGTTATATTAACTGCGCATAACTTGATTGCAGGATGTAACACAAGGCCTGGCGGAACTCCGTAAGACCGCTAGCGAGAGGGAGTTAGTGGCGTTGCTTTCGGGAGAACATGATTCACGCTCCTGTTTTATAGAGGTGAACAGGCTCGCTATGTGAATGTCCCTACACTCGATCCTGCTGCCCTCGTGTATGGTCTTCATTGTGTTGCTGCTGGGTGCATGGACAACATTTGTAGTTCCTACCCCAGCTAAGAATATGTTAGCAACCTTTTCACGGCTGATCATCGTCCTGACCTGCGTTTTACCCAGAAGTTAGTAACCGCTATTGGCAACATCTGAAACTTCACTGCGTATGTCTTCCTGATTGAAGGGTGCGCTGGATTGTAGGTCCAGGCGGGGGCAGGAGGAACCGAAAGCATGGACTGGGCAGCGATGGTCATGCGGATGTACAGAATGTGGGCTCAAACTCGTGACTACGAAGTAACAGTGGTAGATGAGATGCCTGGTGAAGAGGCTGGCATAAAGGTACTTTGTTACGCTGGACAACATTATCCTTTTTTTCCAGCTAGCCTTCTCACAATTGTTTTGTTCTTTGTTTTACTTGTCTGTGTTTTTGTTTCAGTAACAGGTGAGATTGAAATATAGGTACCGTCACATTATCCATTTCGGTCTTGGACTTTCGTAGACATTACTGTTCATGCGTGTTAACCGATCTGTTGGTGGTGACGACCTCGTGTTTGTCTCTCACAGCCGGATCTACTTGCTATTATTTCCTAAATAGCCTGTTTATAGCGCATAACATCAAGGAATCTGTGTTGTCTTTGGATTACCTTACTAAACTTATGGGAGATGTATGGGGTTCAGAAAATTAGTCGGTCAAAGAAGAAAGTTCACGTGTTGTGGAATTTGATGTTATGCTACAGCGGGCAACAATACGAGTGGATGGGCTTTATGCATATGGATATGCTAAAACAGAAGCAGGTGTCCATCGTCTCGTGCGCATTTCTCCTTTTGATGCAGGCAAGCGCCGTCACACTTCCTTCGCAGCGGTTGCAGTGATACCTGCGCTTGATGAGTCGGAAGTAAGCATTGAGATTGGCGAAAGTGATCTACGAATAGAGAGATTCCGAGCTGGTGGGGCCGGTGGTCAGCATGTCAACAAAACAGAGAGTGCTGTCCGCATTATTCACATCCCTACTGGTATTGTTACACAATGTCAGGCTGACAGGTATTGAATACTAATTATCCTCGGCAATTTACTGCTGAATGCAGTCAGTCTGTAGAATAATGGTGAATGTTTTATCGGGAAAGAGTAGATTATGTATTACTATTGATCGTTATGTGCCCACATGTGAAATTTATTTTTGTGTTCCCGAGCGATGCTTACCTATATGTTACATGTAGATCACAACATCGAAATAAGGCAACAGCCTTAAGTATGCTGCAGTCTCGTCTTCATCAAATGGAAGTGACACGTAGGGCAAAAGCCAATGCCCAACACACACAATCCCTTTCCGATGTTTCGTGGGGCAATCAAATCCGCTCATATGTTCTTCAGGTCAGAATGTTTTTTGTGATTTATTTTAAAGTTCTTAATCGTAATCCTTAGGTGTGAGAAAATAGACTTCTTATTTTTGTAAATTTTCGCCCTATTTCAACCACAATCTTTCACCTATTTTAAAGACGTAACAAAGGAAGTTGCATTGTATGCGAGTACATTCCAGCCTTACCAGATGGTGAAGGATTTACGTACGAACTATGAGGTCTCGGATCCTAGTTCAATATTGGATGGTGAAATCGACGGCTTTATTATGGCCTACTTGGCGAGCTCTTCTGCTCCTTAGTCTCGCAGTAGTTCGCCCGTTGTACGTTTGACACTCATGATTCCAGCAAATTTATCGAGGTAACTTTTTCCTCTTTCCTTTTTCTACCATCTTTTTAAAAATTCAGTCAGTGTTTAGTTCAGCACACGTATTGTGAGATATAATAGAAGCACTTCTGTATTGTTCCAGATGATCGTTGAGGGTTTGTTTCAAGGCTTACTGAGATCGTTGAGGTGCTCCACTATTGATAAGTCTTCACCAGAGGCGCAAATCGCCGTCTTTGACATGAAGGGAAAAATAGGGTCAAACTTCGATTACAAGTCATCGTGCAGAGATTGAACCGATGGAAGCAGCGTTTCGTTGCACTCCTCAGAGTTGCCTCATGAACCTCGAGATGTGCAATTTGATAAAGCAATGTATAGCGAGGAACCATAGAGGCTGTTCATTGAAGGTATAAGTTAGTGGTGGTACTCAAATTGTGAACGCAATTCTGGACGATTGAATAGATAATCTCAAGTTGTCATTTGAAGAGAAACCATGATGACCATGATGATACTGAGATCTGTCCAAACTTGTTCAAACCTAGATGGGTTGTTTGGCTGGATGGAACTTCGGCAACCCGTTCTCATTTTGTCATCAGAGATGAATACGCATTTGTCTGATCAAGTCGATTGCTGCTTGAGCTCCAAGTTCACCGTACCTCTCGTTCCCTCATTTGTCTTGTAAATGCAAGCTTTTTGTGATCAATCAGTCATTCCCTTCTATCCCTCTTCTGGAAGAGGCCTTTTGTATCGGCAATTCAGATTCAAATCATGTAGAATCCAACTAGAATCCAACGTAGTAAGGAATGTACTACATTTTTGTAGTCCTTTCTAACTTGTTCATATATGTGACATGAGTGTCAAGCTTAAGATCATACATCTATTTGAAAGGAGATCACCAGCGATTTTGCTGGCTTGACATAGTGTTATGTACTTCCAATTAATAAATGAAATAGCAAGTTCATTACAATATTTGGAAATAAATCTATCAATATGTAACCGGATGTGGTGATTTATAAGTTATCCATAAAAGTAGATTTCAGACATAATGATCATAATATGTAATGAAAGGACTAGAAACATAATATCTACACTTGTATAAAGTTGCTAATCAAAAGCCTTCTAATAAAAATTGATACAATTGGTTGCATTTAATATCAAGTATAATCTAAATCTTATAATGTTGTAACATCTAATACATAATTTTGAAGCCCACTTATTATTTTGAGGAAATACTAACAAACATGGATTTTGAATCTTTGTCTATTCAAATCACAAGTTAAGTTGCTAGTTCATCCAAATGTTTAGTTACATTCTTCTATATATCTTATTTTATTGGAGTTTATTTAATAATCTTGTAATCCAATGGAAACTTTCAATTGAGAGTAACCAAAACATCTAATTAGCACATTTATTTTTCTTCTAAAGAAAATGGGTACACATTTTAATATTTTTAGAAGAAAAAAAAAAATATATATATATATATATACTGATGTAGTATCATAGAAAATATATATATATATATATATATATATATATATTATACACACTCTTAAGCTTTAAGTATAATCTATTTTAAATAATTTTTGATATATAATTGTGGAACTCCAAAATAACTTTTTTATGACATTATACTCATAATCACAATGTCTTGGTAGATATACTTAAATTAGTGATAAATAATGTTTAACTTAATGTTATTTTATTTTTATAAATTTTATTTTTGTGCATGATAATAAAAGGAATCAAAATGATAGAATAGAATAGAGAAATAAAATTTAAAGAATAAATAAGGTCAATTAAAACAATAAGGGATTGGATTGGCCTTGATGCTTCTTATAGGTGCAATATTAACTAATACTAAGAAATTAGGGATGCATCTTGTTCTTGCATGTAACTGAAAAGTTCTTTGTATTCTAATTTAATTTACTTTGATTCATAGAACATTCTTCAAAATTATCACTTGTTTTTTATTTTTATTTTATTTTTTGTAGTTGTTACTTCATTAGGTAGATTATCACAAGTTAAACTTCTATTTGTCTTACAATCCTCTATGAATCATCCTCTAAACCATTTATGCTTCCTAATACAAAAGATAGAAATTGTGCTATTAAGTTTGAGATGTGTGAATTGATGTGGTTTAATGTTATGGTTGCACTTCTAAAGGCAACTAAAAATCAAATTTATATGAAGTACATTAGACGATGAATATTTAAAATTGGTGATCATCCAAATAAACAATTTGAGTTGGTCCAAAAAATTTGAGCATGTCTACTTAATTTAGAAGCTTATTTTATGAAAAGAGGCTAGAAGTGAGAGAAGCCCAATCTAAAAAAACTAGAGATAGAAAGAACTTAAAGAAAGACATAATCTTCTAAGGTAGAATTTATAAATTAATACATTAGATGACATTATGTAGATGCCACTGATAAGGATCAAACCCAAGACCTCCAAGATCACAACACATCTCTCTACTACACATACAAACTTTTGTAATACTAGTTTTGGAGCAAAAGTATATACTTTTATACAAAGTAGGACTCTACCTTTTGCATGTTCCCTACATGTTGCTCCTAAGCTTAAACACAACAAGCAAAAAAAAAAAAAACTAATAACCTATCCTTGACCTACCATAGCTAATATTTTGCTAAGCAATATTCATCTACAAATCAAACCTAGGGATTGTTGTACAAAACCTACATCTAAAACTTATGTTTCAAACACTTAAGTAAAATCATTTCACTAGCATTGTTGTCAATGCAAACAATGCTTATAAAGCCAAATATTCCCGAAAGTATTTTTACAACCCTATGTACATCATAATGACCATGTTTTAAGTATTTTTGTAAATATCATGTTTTCACACACCATGTAGATGTTCTTCTCAACTCCACTACCCAACTTTGATGCCCATAGATGGTATGTCGGGATTACACTGTTGCAGCACCAGGTGTGAACACTGGGACCTCAATAAGAGTGAAACCCTAATTTCCCCTGCGAGGGGCGCTTCTGTCGGTGAGAAACCCGACCACACGGTGCGAAGAGAACAGACCCAACAAATGGTGACCATCCAGACCTCCGTCGACGAGGTGATGCGGAGCTCCTGTGCTCTTTCTCTCGTCGTGGGTGTCAGGAATTTTCTGAGGGGATCGATAAGTGGAAGGGAAACTAACCAATACAAATATCACACCGTCGATTGAATGATTCGCCGACCATGCAAGCGGAAGGTGTTCTGTGCAGCCGAGCTGCGGGAATCCGAAAATTGGACAGGGGGTGAATTCGAATTGTGGCAGTACATGTTAGGAACTGGCAGAGTGTAGGCCGTGGATTCTCCAGTGTTGTTCCAGATCCTCATCTGGGGGTTTTGAACCCAATTGCCGGACTTTTATGTAGATTTACGAAACGCCGTCTTCTGCATTTCCACGCAAAAATCTAAGTGGAGCAGCCTTTCTTCGAGGTCTATGTACCAGACCTGTACATCTGACAGTGGTGCGTGGCCTGTCTCGCTTCAGCTACGTGGTGCTTGAGAGTACATCTACGTTGCACAAGGTGAGAGTGGAAACAATGGTGTCGTGGTGGAGACACTGGTAATGCGTAAGGACCTGATTTGGGAAAAGTAGGAAAAGGGTTTGCAGAATTGGGTGTAGTACTTTGAGCATCATTTTTCAGGGTTTGCGGGCGTCAGGAGGATTGGTCTCCTATACATTGAAGTGAATTGTCGTTGCGTGGGATTGTTTCGATTATTCGAACGGTTAGAAAGCTTCTGACTAAGTTACATGCAAATTCAATTTCACGTTTGTAGCTACCTGGAATTTTATTTTAGATTTTTGTCGATAGAGAGGTAATGCTCGACTGTTTACCGGCAGAGAGGGGTTTAGGGTTAAGCAAGGGCTTTGATAGTAATGAGACTTGGCTCCGTGTTGGAGAGCCGCTCACATTGCATTTTAAAAGTAGCTGAAAATTTCGAGAGCGATATCTAACTAAGTGTACGAAATTTGAGTTGGGCAGGGCAAAATGGGACACGGTATTGCGGTAACTCCTGAGGTGGCCAAGAAAGTTCTGTGGGCTTGTCTCGCCATGCCCGTTGTAGCTCTCGGCGCACGTTTGTTCATGGATCCCACTCACGAAGCGCAGACTCATCACGAGGATCAACTACCCATCCCGCCTCACGTACCTCCACCAGTAGCCGATTTCCCTGACAAGCAACACCAATCTGCGGAATCAAGCTGAGATGACGGGAATTCCGTGCTTCAGGTATGTTTCTATTACGTAGCGTAGCTACAGAGAAAATTCTACCCTCCAAAAGAAATTAATTAGATCGATCATCAGTGCTAATACTGTGACATCCTACGCCATCCCTATAGTCTATCTGCCCAGCAGATTTTGAAGGTTTTATCATATAGACTGACTACAGTTTTTACAGTTCTGGATTTTTCAGTATTGTAGTTTCCAGCCCTCATGTGAATTTTGTTCCATTCTGCAGATTTAGTTTATTGCGATAATGCCTGTGGATTGGAGGGAAGTTAGATGTAGTTGTTTAACAGCTTCAAATGATGGAGCCTATTCCCTACACAGTATCTGTGCCAATATTATTTTTGTGCAGAGAATAAGCTTGCACGTTTCAACGTTGTGTTTTGAGATGCTTGGTGTGCTTAACCGGTTTTGCGTCTGACAATGCCATTTTCTCTTTTTCGATTATACTCTGTTAGGCATGGATCAATGACTGATTCGATTTGGAATACTGGATGTTTTATTATTTAATTTCCGAGTTGATTTACTTATAAAACCGTACAGAGAAGATGCAGGACTTCAACTTATGCTCTGAAAGTTGATGACCAGCTGTGGAGCACATGTCCTCGTTATTATCTGGATATGCTGCTATGTGGTTATTGCTCCTAATTGCTAACAATCTCTAAGATCAAGCTTTGTGAGGATTGCAAACAAGAGCAGCCAAGGTTAAGGATCATGTATTGAATTGGAAGGAAAGTAGAAGGTAATTGGCAATTGATTTTCTCAATCTCGTAGATGAATGCCCCAAGTTATCTTGACGCGGACTGCTAGAGTAATAGTTCAAATCGACATTCTAGTTTCTAGCGACAGAATTTTCTCAAGAGAGGTGAAAATGGAGGTCAGAGCAAGCGAACGAGGATAAAGTTTCTTGGAACGTTGTAGACATGAATAAGGGGACATGAATTGGAGAAAATAATGTACTTAAGGGAATTAGTCAATGTTCATTGAAATTATTCTAGGTATCATCATTCGTCACTACACACTCCATCCATTGATGAAAGAGAAAAATGTCCGCACATTTCTATTACTGTTTCGATACGGCACAGATCAACGATCATATTTTTTAAGCCACTAAGCAAGGTACACCATCAAGTTCATAGTTTGCAGTGACACCGTCTGCGGCGAATAAGTTAGGATTTCAGGGTCTTTAGCTGTCTGGTGCTTAATGGCAGAGCTTAATCGCTGCTTCTGTAATTTAAGGAATTGCATGTATGAGTATAGTGTTCCATGTTAGAAAGCAAATTCAGAAAACACATTCTACGACACCAATTGCATCATCGTGATTGTATTGCACATTATATTGGTTGTGGTTTCAGAGTTATCGTGGTAAGCAGCACTTTAGACAGGTGAAGAATTGTACCAAGATCTCGACAGGATCCACGTGCATAAATTATGACGAAAATAAACAAAAAATTATCAACCTTTTAAAAAGATTGATGGTTAATCATAGGCCATTCATTCCGTTCGTATGTGAATTGGATATAAATTTCAGTCTCAATCAGAAATAAGGTTCAAAATCTCTTCAGAGGTCAAGAATGGAAGTGACTAATTCACTCTCATGGCGCTAGCCTCTGTGGGTCACGAGGGAACAAGGACGTCTTTCGAATGTTATTCAGAGCACAGAAGAGCATTACCACACGTTCTAGGCCTACACCAGCACCTCCATGTGGGGGTGCTCCATATCTGTGGACAAATGGAACAAGTTGAAGGTTAAAAGTTATTCAAGGACATTAAGCACTGAAGCAAAAAGTAGTGCATCAATTAGCCAGTAAAACGACGGAACCATCCGCCATGAAAATTATGAGGCACAATATAACAAACTTGGAAATACCTGAAGGAGTCGATATATGTGGTAAGGGATTTGACATCAATTCCACACTCGGTTGCCCTCTTCGTCAGCAACTCTGGGTCATGAATACGTTGAGCTCCCGAAATAATCTCCTCCCCTAAAAGATCACAAGAGTAAAATGTAGCATTAGAAAGTTTCTAATTATGTGTCTTTTACAAACTTGGTGAACCCACATGTTCTATCTACAAAATCAACTGGATCACAAGCTGAAAGACTTCAAAGATAATCTAATGCTTGGTTACAATGCACAGATTTCGTAAGAATTCTCCTTTCCTATTAATCGCCAAATTTAGGTTTAAGTTAAAGAACTTCGAAGAGAGTATAAATCGAAAAGTCAAACATCACATTTTTTGACGCGAAAATGTTGCCTCAAATCTAGCATTTGGTTTTTAATGTAGATAGGTCCTCACCTCGAATAAAGACATCAAAAGAGTTGCTGTAGCTTTTGTCGTCCCAGCATGGCATCGTGTAAAATGGCCTGATTCCAGAGGGATAACGGTGCAGAACATAGAAGTCAGTCTTGTACCTGCCAGACACAAGGAACACTTTGTCAGATATGCTAGTAAGAAAGGGCTCAAAAGCAATAATACTCGCATGATTAGGCATTATAGCTGTAAAACTGATTCCAGCACTAGTCGAGTTGAACCACTGTGATCAATAATAGCACATCGAGACAACTGATGTAGTTTTGAGAATTACCTTTCTTTCACGAGTTTCCCAAGTGTTTTCTCGGTCTCGGTATTGAAATCAGCCATAGGGTCTACCTCGATACCCGCTTCCTAAAACCATTCAAAATTGTAAGACAAAAGCATGTAGTTTGATGCAACTATTACATAATTAAGGCTACCTCGACACTCTAGCATTGCGACGAGATCCAATAATATGATTCAAACTGCTGATGAAAACTAACCTTAAGAATTGCAACGCCCTCAGCAAATGTAAGCCTCAATGTTTGAGGCAAATACTGCAGAAAGCATAAGATGCACAAGGTCAATAACCGCAACCACGGCATGCTATCGATTTCTTCGTTGGATGCCTACCGAATCAAATTAAATCTAGCCTTTGCTAGAGGGAACTTCATCATGTAGTCATCAGAATTTTTGAACTTAGCATTAAACGTCTTACAGCAACAAAGCTGAACAAACCTTAAGAGGCTCAAATGGATACTGCTCATTGATAGCCTCCAACTGCTTGGCACACTTCGTGTTTAGACCATCAAAAATCGTGAGAAATACTTTCTCAAGTACATCCAGAACCTGCAATCGCACCATTCCAAGCTTTAAGCGCAACTACTACGAAACCTTTCGATAAGATGCCAGAATGAAGTCCTCCGTTAAACCTACATTCGGAGAAAATACATGTTATGAACGTCAGCAGGATTGATTAAAGTAATCCACCAGAATAAGGTGCTTATAAAGTTTATGAGCATGGTACGGTAGCTTTGCAATTCGTGGGTTAGCCGGTACATGGCATCACAAGCTACCTCAAAGTAGTGCTCCTTGATCTCCATCTCAAAATCGAGACCTGTGAATTCACACAGGTGTCGATGGGTGAAAGAGTCTTCTGCACGGAACACTGGTCCAATCTCAAAAACGCGCCCAAAATCAGCACAAATGGCCATTTGTTTGTGCAGCTGTGGAGATTGTGCAAGACATGCAGGCTGGCCCTTGTAGTCCAGCTTGAAAACTGATGAACCTCCCTCACTGGCTCCAGCAATCAACTTGGGGGTGTGTAATTCCACAAAATTCTCATCTAGAAGTGCTTGTCTGAACAGCTGCATGATTCAATATTCAAATAATGAATACATTTGAACGATCGAACACGAGAGCCGGATGGCACATGCCGAGTTACCTACGAAATTGAGGCAAATAATATACGTGGAACTCTATACAGAAGACCGTCTTAAAGATACCAAAGGTAGATAATTCTCCGTTAACCACTACGCACTTGATAGAAATAAGACAGAAGAAAACAACATTTGCCATAGTAAGAGCATACATAATCGTAACACACCAAGTTATCAAAACATACGACGAATGGGCGAAACCAAAAAGTAAAGGCTATAAATACTAACAGCTGAGACTTGGCACTGAATGCGAAAGATAGCCTGATTGGCAGGCGTGCGTAAATCAATAACGCGATTGTTCAGCCTCGTGTCCTGCCCCACTCGCACATACTGGATACCTTCCTGCAAAACCTCATAACCAATATTGTATCAGTGTATCGACATAGTGAAGGGGTTAAAACATCACGAAAAACGTAGAGCTATTGTGATCCTTAAGAAACCACTCGCAGCAAGTACTTGAAGAAAAAACTGTGTCAGTTGTTCACAATGTGTAAGCTGAACAATGTTGAAGTACAGTGTGCGAGAAATCAGTTACCTGTTCGCCTTTCTGAAGGTCTAGTTCGCTTCTAGCAGCATCTTCCAAATTGATGGGGAGCTGAACCGCAGCCTTGCTAATACAATAGATCTTTGAAACATGTAATTCGACCTGAATTCACATTCATAGTGTCACGTTAAATCGATAAGCTTCACCGTTCATAAACCCTTAGTGAAACTACAGTTACTTTCTGCTTGATACAATGATCAAACACAAAAATCCCATCGCCTCACATAAGACATACCGGTTGAGAGGTCCCCTCCACGGGCTTGGGCGGAACAACCACGACTCCCTCCACATCGACAATGCTCTCCTTGTTCAGCTTCCCCACATACTTGATCATGCCCTTGCTAACCACGTTTTCCTTCACCGCTGCAACACACTGAACTGTGTGACCCGCCTCTCTAACAACCAAAAAGCCCAGACTTCCTTTACCACGAACAGTGTGAACTCTCCCGCGTACCAACACAGTCTGACCCGAGTGATCTTGCCCCAAATCCCCAACGTTGGTCCACACACGACAACTCTTCTCTTTACTCTGCAAATTCTCCATGACAACATCACCGTAGTTCCCTGCCAATGGATCATCCTCTTCCTGGTTCAATTGAGCCGCTGCCATTTCCTTTTTCAATTTCTTCTCAGCAAGTTTAGCCAGCTTCGCCTTCTCCTTTTTGCTCAGAGTCGGAGCAGCCGTCTCCTCCATTGCAACAGGGGCGTTTGTTCCCTCCATCTGAGGATTCCGAAATAAGTAACAAAACCTAGATGAGACTTGGAATCCTTATTAACTCAGCCCTAAACCCTGGCCAACACGTCCTCGCGGCACAACATCTGCCTTCGAGATCAACAACAACAACAATAATAACTCAACTTCACTTCAAAACCTCCCAAACAAACCACGAGTTACGAGATTCTTCAATAACACAACAGAAAACTTGAGAAGCACGAAGCCGCACACTCTTCCCGTGTCCGAAATCCAGCAGAAATTCACAACAAAACACACACCAACTACGACACAGAAGTCAAGATAACGAGCCAACGCATACAATGTCTGGTTCGATCGAAAGCTCTTCAACCAAGGCTCCCTCTCCGACCTAAAAAAGGCCACTCTCTCACTCCACGACAACCTTCGGCGATGCCCTAGCTCTCTCTCACACAGACAATTCCACCACCATATCCCTACCTCAAGGTTCAGAGAGAGAACAGAAAAGACCTTTCGCGTGGCGCAGTGTTGCTGAACCATAGATATTCAAAGCTGCGTGTGGATGAATGATAGCATTCGTCTTTTGAGATGTTCGCCTTCGCTTTCTCGTCAGATGGATGATATATGGACGAAAGACTTCATCTCTCATTTCCTCGTTGATTCCTCCTTACGTTGACTACTTTGGACCTAATGAGGATGGACCCCTAAAAGTTCATCTTTAAAGGAAAAGTTTGTTCTTTTAAAAGAACAAAACCCCTCAAGTTTTACTATATCTCTGTTGAATCAGCTCTTGATAATTAAATATTTTTTTATCATCATGACCTCAACAAAACAGACTCAACTTATAAAACATCTAAAAATGTTATACAAATCTTCATTATTTTTTCCTTATGTTTTATCTACTTGTTATGTAAATACTCCAGATACAAGTTTATTTTTAAAAAATTAAAAATATAAAACAAATTTAACTTAGAAAACAACTTTGTAGAGATTAGTGACAGATGTATCGACAGAAAACCCTCTCATTAATCAAAATTAAACAGTAATTGATACTTTTAACAAATGGAATATTAACTTGAGATCTAAATCAAAAGAACATCAACTACAATTCACATGAAGTTTCAGTTGAATGTTTTCAAAGTTTATTGTGAAAAGCATCTTCAAAACATAAATTAAACGGAGTTCACGTGAAGTTCACAAAAATTATGTATGTTCAACAACGCAAGTTCCCACTTTTATCTTATAGCAGCATGTATGTATGTATGTATGTATCAACAATTTTTTTTTTACATTACACCTAACCAAAACAAGTGAAAATATTAATGAATCTTTGCTCAGATATCACCAGAATTTTATGTGATAAAAATACACCTGCATTAAAGAATAAATAAACCAATGCAAGAATGATTCAGACATGGTTGAATTTTTAGCACGATCTTTCTAAGCACACATGACTTCTAAGGAAGAGTCATCCGTTCTGAAAAAGAATGAATCATTCATTGGAAAGTGTGTTCACTTACTACAAAGTTAACCTCTACTCTAACACTCAAGAGAAATCACCATTTTCACTTCGAGGCTTGAGAGTTTGTACTTAGAATATGCAGCAACGATGGCCTGTAATGGAACGGAGTGAAGAATCAAATGGTGTCCATAAATGGGTGTGCCTAATGGAGATGAGCTGAAAGCAGTGCCACCATCACATCATGACTGGCCCAAGTCCAGGTCCAGCTGCTTCAGAAGCCCAGGAAGCTCGCCAATGTTGGAGATAATGTGATCTGGAGTTGCTCCTCCAGCAGGTAGACCCTCCAGGTTGTGCACATTCACCCAGACAGTGGCAAGGAAGCCTGCGTTGATGCCACCCTGCACAGTAGACATACGTTGAAACCATCTCTTCTTTACTTATTGAATGCTAACTATTCAACTACGAGTGGAAATTAAATTATTACATGACTTCGATCCAGCTCCCATGCCACCACCCTACGCAGTGGAGGCAATATAACTGGGAGAAGAGAATGCCTAGTTTGCAGGTCTGAGCTTGGAAAAGAACGAAAGAAAGCAATGGTAACTTGTTTTAGAGAGACGGGGAGCGAGAAAGAGTAGGAGAATGGTAATACATCATTCAGATATTGAAATTTAAATACTAAAGCATCAAAGGATAGGAGCTACAGGATACCTGTATGTCAGTTTTCAGGTTGTCACCGACCATAATTGTTTCTTCTGGACTGCATCCTGCAAGCCTGCAGGCCTTCAGGAATATTTCCCTATGTGGCTTTTGATTTGGCTCTTCTGCACATTTGAACAAGAAACTTGAAATACGCCCTCATGTGACTCTTTTAGGTGATCAGAATTTGATCGCACAGAACGACGAGCTCATCATACATTTGAGTTGCAATACGGAATTCCAGATTACCTCCGCCCACAAGTATAGTATCAAAAAGTAGATCAGCCTTGCATGCTTTCAACTTGTCTCTTTGAACCTGCAATAAAGATAGTTCCACCTCCAACCTCTCAAAAGAGCAGTTCGAATTCGGGATATAAAATTATCCCCAGACTGACAAAGAAATTTAGGAGAAATTGAAAAACGCTAGAAGGGGCTAATGGTTGTACACTGAAGTGGCCGTTGGTTATAATGCCCACTTTGATGCCTAGTTCATGTAGGCGCTGTACCATCTGCGATCAGAAAATAGCGCGTAAGACTGGCTTGCGAAACTATTGCCATGTCTACATGCATTTAATTTTGTTTTTGTTTGTTTGTTTGTTTGTTTGTTTGTTTTCTTTTCTGTTTTTTTATCAGGATGTATGAAATTCAGTTTAGACATACCATTATTTTACCACGTAAATCACAATGAAATTATAAAATAGTGAATATCTGACAACTTTCAGAATTCGTAATTACGAATCTTTCGCATGTCAACCGCGACGTCCATATAATCCTGAACTTATTCCTCGCACCCAGAAAATACAGCAAATCCAACGGGGCTTGCCTGAAAGAAAGCGAAGGAGAGTGTTGTACCGATTCAACTCCCGGCGCCCATTGAAAGGACAACAATCTCTCCTTATCAAACAAATCTTGCAAATTCTGTAATACCACACCATCTCAACTGGTCAGATTAAATGGTGTCACCGAGACTTGACGTGCTTGTTCACATCGAACAACAGAGAAATAACCAGTTCGGTTGTCAAGATACACTCAAGTTTGTTGTCATGCATTGAACCAACTAAAGATTCGGAACTTACTCTAGCAAGCGGCAGATCATCAACGCCTTGGCTTTGGAGAGCTTCGTTCCAAATCCGTGCTCTCCATTCCCGAACATCCACCTGTAGGGAGGAAAACACAAAAAACCCAGAACTAAAAACTTAGGGGTCTTAGACTGGCTATTTGTGTTCCAATCAAGCATGGTCAGACAGACATCTCTTTCAGCGCTGATCTCCATCACTACATCGGGTACTGGTATAAAGTGACAGGAAACAAATGCGAAAGTGAATAACCAAAACCTGGTGAGTGCGATCCCACGGAGAAACGTCAAACTTTTCTACAAACACCTTCACCATCTCTACTCCATTGATGTGCGGAACATTTCGCTCTGCCAAAACCTGGGCAATTCATAGGATCTATCAGTCCTTACTGCCTTTCTCACAGAAACCATTCAACACTCGATTACACAGACGACTAACGCATCCGTAACTCCACGCCATTATTGGTCACCTATATTTTAATGAGGGCAGTGGGGGGCTACGTCTAGGAAGTACAACACCATTCCCAATTTCTACAAAACCAGAGACACCCAACTGTCTAATGCCAATGGAGAATCTAAACGCTTCTCAAATCACGCACCAGAACGGCTAGCTGTGCAACTTTGTCAGCAGCATGCGTGAGCACGAGAGTGTCGTCCAAATCAAAGAACACAGCCTTCACACACCCATCCTTCTTCACTTCCGCTGCTCCAACACAATTCTCGTTCACCTCCATGGCAGCCGATCCTGCAGCGCCAGTCACACCGTCCTCAAAGACAGCCACCAGCGTAGCTACCGACCCACCTCTCCTGCGGTGCGAAACCTCACGCGCCAAACACTTACTCTCCTTCACGATCCTGCACCGCGACTCATCACCCTCAAACTTGAACAACGTGACACGAGAAGGAGGGAAATGCAGGAGGGGCGAGGGAGAAAAAGAGGAAGGGAGGAGGCGAGGTGCGAGTGCGCGGAGGGTGGATGCGGATGCCATGTGCGACACAGCAACAACAACAACAACAACAACAACAATACCACCAACCTCAGAGCTCTAACTTCTACAGCAAAACGGCAAACAGCCTCTTCTTTGACGAGGGAGGACCAGCGTCACGGCATGGGCGCCGACCTGGAAGGTGTGTTCTCTGCTTCCTCGACCGCCGGACGGCGTCCAGTTCGTTGCCCACCTGAACTGCTGAAACTTGGATGAAGTTTTCATATCATTTAGATGGCGCTTGGACGTGTATTGTGGATGACGTTTTGATGAATGTTTCGGATGTATATTTTGGATGATATGTGGATCAAAAACTTGGATGAAGCAACACAAGCTTGCAATGCAAAGAGGGGAGGGGTTGTAAGCGAATAATGCAAAAGACTAATGGAGGTTGAGTTGATGAATGGTTTGTTTGAGTGAATGGGGATTAGAGTTTGTGTCTTTTTAATAGGAGTTGAAGAATTGGTGTCTAAGTAGAGTAGTAAGATGATGTTGTTTCTAAATTTTTATTTCTTTTAAAGTAAGATATTATGGATTAGGTGATAATCTGAAACGTATCAAAATAAATAAAGGAAAAATATCATAAATATTCCTGCAATTTGCTGAAATATCAAGAATATCCTTGTATTTTTTATAATAGCAAATCTACCCTTCACTTTTATGATAATTACAAATATATTCTTGAACATGATAAGTTATATTCGTAATCCTTTTTTTAAATTAGAACTCGGTCCAAACCGCATGCCGCACACATTTTACTAGAGTGCTAGTGTGGGTGTATGCAAAGCCTTCATTTGTTGAAAAAACAAGAGGAAACATTATCTTTATATTCTTTATTGATGGGTAATATTTTCTCAAACTATAGGAAACATCATCAAAAATCCAACAAACAAAACTTCTTGCTCTCTTCATACAAATGTAAGTATTTTCAACTTCAAACTATCTTCAAAAAACATGATTTGCGGAAGCAGCCACAATGCAACAAATTGCACCAAAAAAAAGATAGCAAAAGAACAAAACAATCATCACTAACTATATATAAAGGAAAAATAGAAAACAAATCCAAACTCTGATTGACATTACCTGATTTGTTCTACATTATTTGAAATTGTTTAGATCAATGACAGTATGAGATGATACAAACAAGCTTCACATGTTAAACATATGGAACACTTGTGCAAAGAAATTAGAAGTTGCTGAACTTGTTGGCATCATTGGTGTTCTTCTAAGTCACCTGTCATTGCCTGTTGTAGAATGTGGATTCTTTTGCTAGGTTTTGGATAGTGTCAATGTTGCTATTCTTCCTCATGGCCATCACTCCCACCACTGAAATGAAGAGAAGCAACTTGTCAAAGAAGATGTTGTGCTGACCCACTCTACTATGAGCTAAATATTGTGATGGGAAGTGTCTCAGCCCACTTGGTATTTAAAAATTAGTGGTGGGATAAGAAGCATGGAGGGCTTGCCATTCAAAAGCTCCACCTTTAGAAGGTGGGGTTACTTCACCCACACCCACTATGGCTTAATCAATGTGTTGAACATGACCATGTCATTGTTATGTGATGATTCTGGGTTTGCTTCAAGCAACTTCCCATGCACCACCCTATGTGACAGACATAGTCAAAGAAAAAAAGTCAAAACAAAAAGGCAAGTGAATTATATGAACTCAAATTAGAAATATTTGAAGTGGTTATTGATATTCTTGTTCTAAATCTCAATGTTTCTTTTTTATACTTAATAGAGTTGCTCATACTATTCATCACAGATTTAAAAACCAAATTAGTATAAATCAATTAGCATAGATATATATATATATATATATATCTATATATATAATAGAATAAATCTTATATTGGTTTTAATACTATTACTTAAAAGAAGGAATAAAGAAAAACAATAAAAAAATGCAACTTTGTATAATCTTTTACAAATGTTTCTATAAAACAGTGTACCGAAGTTTTTTTTTTTTTTTTTTTTTTTTTTTTTATGATTTCTTTTAAATGTAAAGTATCTTTTGTTGCTTGTTCACTTCGGGCATTTTTTATTCCTAAATATGCATCATTATGAAAAACTTTAAAGTTGTCAAAATTCAATAATGATATCATATTGTTTGAATATTAATATTTAATGTTATAATATGTTTTCCAATAACTTGGTATGACATTTTTCTGACAATTTGATTTGAATTTAAGACAATCAGAAGTTGGTGTTTAGATATATTATATTATGTAGATAGCACATAGAATATTGGTAATGCCACCAAAACATTTGCTACAACCACTACAACTTGCCACCACCTTGACATGTTTTGTTTAATTATACAAAACATTATATATAAAATATATTAATTTATTTATGGAAACATTATTTATACATAAAAATTTTAATAAAAAATTATGTTTAAATCAAATTCTTTGAAAAATATTGAATTATGAATTATCTATTAGTTTAAAAGGTATTGAAGAAAAGTAGTAAGTAGTGGATAGGAGGTTGTAGAAGTAGTAGTAAAAACTAAAGTGGCATTAGCAATACTCTACCATACATATAAATAATATATATAAAATTTAAATAATACTGACAATTTCTCATCAAAAAGAAATGTTTTAAAATTTATTTAACTCTATCTTTTCACAATATTTTGGAATCATCGGTTATAATATCTATTTCTTTAAAATAAAATATATATTATCAACACTTGTCTTTAAAGAGTTATTGAATTTATACTATAAATTTACTATGTTTTTGTTTATCCTTCATAAATGTGTGTGTATATATAGAATGAATAAAATATAGTTTTTACAAATATTATAATAACTAATCATTTATTAATTTTTATTTTAAAATTATAATTAAAAAAAAAAAAAAAAAAAAACTAGATGAAAACTTTAATCAACAACTTCTCAAATTTTCTATATTATAAGTCAATATTATTGGATAACTATGGTTGAATTATAAAGAAAATATAACTCATCAATAAAATTTTAATTGGTTTATTACCTTTTTGTTTTTAATAGATCAATAAATATATAAATAGGGTTTGATGATATAAACTGGTATATAATAATAAAGAGTATGAAAATTACTTAAAGTTTTATACAATAACAACTTAAAATTCTAAATAGTTAAAATTAAAAATAATCTATTTAAAGAGATATCTCAAAACATACATCAATTTATTGTAATTTAACTATACACATATTATCTATATATATTAGTAAATTTTATTTAAATTTATTTAAATTTATAAAATAAGTTCATTTAAATAAAATTTAAAAATTAGTGACAGATTAATTTATTTTCATTCTAAAACACTATGGAAAAAATTCATCTACAATAGAATGTATTTAATATGGAAACATTATTCTAAGTAATATTAATTATGATTTTTTTATGATTATTTAAAATTATATTACATGATGTTTTTATAAATACATGCTTTGATATTTATAAATAATGTTTTATGTGGATTTTATTTTTAAATATTAATAAATTATTTTAAAATTACAATATTAAAAACTTACTGTTTTTATTTTACTTATTTTTACTTTTAATTCAAAGCTCATTAGTTTCTTACATTTTTCATTAACCATTCAAATACATTTATGTTTTCCAACGATATTTTTAATAAACTTTTTTTTTTTGGTTTCTAGTTGTTTATAAATTTAAAAAAAAAAAAAAAAAAAAAAAAAAACTGTTTGTATTTTTATCTTTGGAAATCTATATCAAATATTAAACATGCACGTCTAATTTTAAAACAAACTATATATATGCACAATCTTTTGGTTTTTATGAAATTGATTGAAAATAATGACAGATTATTTTACTACTTATCAAAATTTAGAAATAAACATGAAGTTCATGTTAAATTAAAAATTTGAAACTAAAACTCATAGAAGTATTTATATTATCATTGTTTTTTAAAGAACATCTTATTTCTTTAAAATTCAGATTTCAATAATGAATAAAAATTTAACACATTATACAAAACATTCATTGTAGTATTTATCAATTTTAGTGTTAAATAATGTGAATCCAATATATATTTTACATCAGAAAGTAGATAATAAAGTAAAATCTCGTTTTAAAGAAATATATGACAATATAAAAATTAACCTCAATCACAAAATTTGAAAAAAGATTAGGATTCTAGTTATTGATTAATTTTTTTTTACAAAAATTATTTTGAACATAAATTTATAATAATTTAGCATTTAGAGGGTTTTCTATTGAAAAAATAGATTAAATGCCACAACTTTTAAATCCTTTAGTTGGTTAATACTAAAACACATTCTAATTTTTTATTTCATTTGAATTCTTTCATATCTATCTTTACAACTTTTAAATTTTGTATCTTTTAGTTTATCGATGAAGAATTTCTTATTAAAAATATGCTAAATTCATTTGAATCTTTCAATTCTTTACATGTTCTATTTATACAGTATTAAAAAATTGCTATTTTAGAATTACTCTAGAATGTTTTGTTAAAATTTTCCAGAATCACATGTTCTATCACAGGTTTGAAAAAATATTCACTACTCGACATCTCCAAATTCTTATCGATTTGCTGCCTTCAGTTGGAATTTTTAATTTACTCAGTAAAAACACAACAAACAGTTGTTAAACAGCATAACGTGCAACATGGACGAATGAAAAGGAAAAATAGATGGACGAAGTCGAGAAACTCTGATGGATCGGAACAACAAGACGACGAAGCACAAGTTGGAAGCAAGCACAGCCACAAGCGCGCGCAAGCGATAACTTTCTTCGGGCGATGGCGATGCGAGCGATGGAAATGACGAAGGCCGCGAGCAATCAGGGGGAGGAGGCAATCACCCAAGCACGCGCACGAGCAGCAAGCAAGCAACACCACGAATTGGTGTACAGAATGGCGACCAATCAGCGATTCAGTCAGTGCCAACTGCCCCTCAACATTTGGCACTTTCAGCGGGGCTGCTGCTGCTGCGATGTGGAAAGAGCTCGGTTGCCGTTAATCCCGCATCACTGCCTCTGCCCCAAAATCTCCTCAGGTGCTCCTCAAAAGGTACACGCTGCATTCGCTTCTATTCGCACTCTTGCGTATTTTTGGGTCGCATTCCGTTTGTCTTCTTGTGGAGATCTCCGTGTTGTCGTGTTTTATTAGGTGTGGACATCTGTTTGTGTTGACCGGTGCAGTTATGGTTGCGATTCAATTGGGAGATGGGTTGTTGGAAAGGTCGTCTGGGTTCGGTCGGAAGCGAAGCAGTTCTATGTGTAATTTGGCGACTCGGTTGCGGTGATTCTGTCTCGCGTCTTTGTAAATCTTCGTGGTGCTGTGGGCGAATGTTGCTACCACCTTCGGGCGTTCATGCGAATCGAAAGTGTTTTCCGCTTTCCTATTCGTGGTAGCTAGTTTGGCCACTGTCATGGTTTACTTTTAATTAGTGGGATTGGATTGCCTTCCTTCGGTCTCATGCGTTTTTAGATTTGGTAAACCTCAACGCTGCTTGCGTTGTCCAACAATTTGTGAATCACTGAAACGCCGTGAACGCTTCAATAAGTCATTTAGTCACCTACCATGTTCTAGAAGTTGTATCTGAAATGGTTCTTTACAGAGGACCTTGAAATGTTGACATAGCTATTTATCGTATGGGGAATATTAGAGTTGAGGATGAAGAGCTCTCCCTCTTGGTAACCCTGATTTGTACAAAAACTTGGGTTTCCAGATGGTGCGATTGCGTATGGTTGTGTCTGATAATAGGGGTCGTCCTTATCAGCTACGGGCTTCATTGTACGTTACATTTTTGGGTTTATCTTTGGGGATTTTGCATTATGCTTGCTCATGTTCTCCGTCTTGGTGATCGCAGGATGGAGGTGAAGAGTCCTAATTTGAGCCAGCTAGTCGCTAACTAGTATATCGTATCGGTGATGTCCCTGCAACTCTTTGACGAATTGTTGGGAGATTCTAGGGCCGAGAGCTTGGCTGACCACTTGACAAAGAAATCCAAAGTGTTGTCATCCATGGGGTTGGTTGTACCTCTGCAGGGGATGCTGGGAGGGCGTTACGGGCTTGCACTTGGCTGCATTATTCCACTGGTGAGCTTTTATCTCATTCAGTTAAGGCCCAGAAAATTCCTCCCGCTGGATCCAAAGCCTGCCCAAGTAAAATCTCTTGAGAAGAATGAGGCGGTCGAGGTGCAACCACCAATCTCGGCAAGGGCAATGTCCGTGATTTCTATACAAGAGACCCCTTATTACATTGGCGGGAAGGAAATGAGTGAGAATGGATACGATTCGGTCCTTAATCCTACTGGCTGCATTGAATTTGGAACATCAGAGAACAAGGTATTGGAACTCTCCTTGCATCATCACTTCTCGGGAATGATACATTGTCTGAAGTAGACAATGAGCGGGATTTACGTGTACAATACCAAGCTCTTGTCCTTCGCATTACTTTGTGCAGTTATCTTTGGATTTGTTACAAGAATGGCTCTCGAAGTGGGGCGATAACCTGCTGGATTTGAATGAAGCGGGTGGCTACGTCGACTTTAGTGGCCTCAAGTCCTTGAAATCAGTAAGCATGGTTAACCTTTCACTCTTTATATTTCGTTTGCGTTCAGCAAGGAGATTTTCAAAAGGTCCTGTTGCTTTTCGAAAATAACAAATGTGTGTTTAAGGGGAACTACTACTTTGTTATTATGCTGCTGTTAAATCTGTGTTTGTGAGGAATTGTATGCTAGGTTTTTCTTCATTTGTGGTTCTGGATTGAAGAACTGGAGGTTAGGTGCTTGCAAGGTTCATGGGATCGGTGATGGGAGGCCGGGTGGAGTTAGAGCCATCGCAAATGGTGTTGACTGCTGGAGCCACTCCCACATTGGAGATATTAGCTTTCTCCTTGGCTCAGCCTGGAGAGGCTTTCCTAGTTCCTTCTCCGTATTACGCGGGGTACGTGCTTTACTAAGGTTATTCACAGACCTAGTATTTCTCATCACATCTTTTGGTGTGCTCAGTTAATTGTTCTCGTAAGTCCCTGCAGTCTCTGTCGGTTTGGTTGAGAAATTCACTCCGATCCAACCATTGCTTACTTTAGCTAGTGTTGCACACTTCAGGTTTGATAGAGACATAAAGTGGAGGAGCCAAGTGGAGCTTATACCAGTACCCTGTAGCAGTGACACCGATTTCAAGTTAACACCCGACGTTTTAGAAAGTACCTTTCGAAGAATGTCCAGGAAAGGTATTAAAATACGAGGAGTACTGATTTCAAATCCATCAAATCCTGTGGGCAATGTGCTTGACCGAGCTGCTTTGACTTCCCTCTTAGCCTTCACGCAGGACAAGAAAATTCATCTCCTTGTGGATGAGATTTACGCAGCTTGCACTCACGAAGAGTATGCTTTCACAAGCATTACTGAAATTTTAGATACTCCAAAATCTCATTACAATCGGAGTTACGTGCACATCATTTATGGTCTCTCCAAGGACTTGGGCATTGCAGGTTTTAGGGTAGGGGTTCTGTACTCTTGGCACAAGCAGGTTCTGGAAGCTGCCAGCCGGATGGCACGATATTGTGCAGTCTCCACAGCAACACAGCAGCTGTGCACTTCTTTACTCTCCGATGAGCAGTTTATGAGCATGTTCTTGTTTGAGAACCGGAGAAGAATCACCAAACGGTATCGTAAAGTTGTGGCCGAGTTAAATAAGATTGGCATCCAGAGTAAGAATAGCATGGGTGGGCTATTTTGCTGGATTGATCTTCGGCATGTGTTGGCGTCACCTTCCAAAGACGAAGAGATGAAGCTGTGGAAGCATCTCTTGTACAAAGTGGGGTTGCATTTAACTCCTGGGACGTCGTGTTGGTGTGAGGAGCCGGGGTGGTTCAGGCTTTGCTTTGCAACTGTTGACAATGAAACGCTTATGGTTGCGTTTCTTCGCTTTCAGAAGTTCATGCAGAATTCTGTATATTGAAAGGGCTTCTTATTGGATTCTACCTTAAACCCTAAACCCTTGCTTAGACATATATGGATGGAGTCGGATGTAATGTGGAGGGAAGGTCTACACCAGTGTGATTGTGTCTTTATTCAAAAGGAATTAACATGGACTAGAATTCAAGAAACAACTCTGCACTTATTCAGATCTGTTATATTTAATTTCGTATTGGCGAAGTTGGCTCTGTCATTAGTCATTTTTTGATAGCTAGTTGTCGTTGCGGACAGACAAGGGTACTTTTATATTGTTTGAACATTATTTGCGGGATGTATCTCTAATAAAGCGTAGTCTGATTCCGAGATCTGAGTAATAGTCTTTTCATTACGGCGTTGCTTGTGACATTTGTAAGGTAAAATATGGTGCAGTTGAAGCATGTATTGGTCATCTTGTTTTTGTTTTTGAAAATAAACCTGAGATAAGAAATAATTTTGAGTAAAATTTTGATGTTTTGGCATGTTTTGTGATACCTCAAATGCGAGGTCCGATGTGTTCAGAACTATCCATTGAATCTTGCTGCTTCTGACTAAATTGTTTTATAGACACTTCATTTATTTCTATTCAACTGAACTTGCACTATGTAGTTCCTTAGAATGCATCTGTGATGCTTTAACCCTCCACTGTAGTTGCATGATATATTTTTAGCAGGGCAGTCAAAATTATAACGTACAGGGGATTTCCCATGTGTTACATCACCATCTTATAAAAGTGAACGGAAAATTGTTAAATAGATAGATTTAATGTTTACCATTTCTGACTTGAGGAGGGAGAAAACAAAGTACTTCATTACATTCCGTAAAGAACGTCCAATTTGATAGTTCCAATTTGTTCCAACATATTATTATAAAAAATAAGATTTATGAAGGAATAGTTGTTGTTTTATAATCTTTGTGGAATAGTTATACACGTGTATTTTTTATGTTTTTCCTCCATTTATTGGCTTGTTCATACGATCTGCAAGAAGTATAACACATATCATGTATGTGTATAAAATAGAATTATTGATAGACAGAAGCCACAAGAACACTAAGAATGTCTTCTTTTTTATTTTTTCAAAAAAGTCTTTAATAAAGAAGTACTTATTCACCACTCCAAAATCTGAGATGAAAATAGAAATAAAGATCAATTCATTATGCTAGGGATGCTAACATGTAAATGGTTGTATCGTTCTTTTGTCCATCTTGAAATTATTTCCTTCAAGCTTTCCAACAATACAAACCCTCAAAATACGAACTCAACTTCCAACCAACATATGAAAAAATTTAACTCCACATAAGAATGAACGGAGAAAGATTATTTAGTGTGACAATATATGTTTCAAACATAGATTGGACATATCACACATCACCTTGAAGTATTCTGTAGCTGTTAGCGTTGCTTGTACAATAAATGTGGTGCACGGTGCTCCCTGTAACCAATTTGTGGCAACCACCATGACATCGACAGACCAAGCATGTCTAGTAAAAGCAGAAACATGGCTTTCTCAAACTCCCATTTGGATAGAACTGCACTGTGATGAGCAGTACCCAGAGCCTACTACTTTGCGCAATTTAGTCATTGAACCCAATGGTTCATTCCGAAGTCGCACTCCACATTGCTTTCTGTACAGCAATCCACCATCACAACACTCTAAAGTCAGTCCTGACTTGGCATTTATAAATCAAAGAAATACTGAGCCAAAATTTATTTTGATGTCAAAGTCTTGAGCTTCATCTTACCACGACATTACTGAGCCAGTGTGTCCAAACTCTCTGGCTAATCTTTGATGGTTTCTAGTTGTCGTGTTGCATAAATGCCACCAGGCTATTGGTTTTAGAATGTCCTGGTAAATGCACATCGCAACAAATCGAACAGCTGTTGTCCTCAGGATCTCAAGAACATGTTTGCTCCCCTTATATAGAAAGGTTTACACATATCAGAGCTTACCACAACAAACTTGAGAATGTGGAATACTATCACTGCATCCGGAGATTCCAATGCTTACCACAGAGTTTGATGTTTAGACTGGGTCAAGGGCAAACTAGCACAATTGCTCAGAATTGCCAGCAGTCCTGTGCATATTTGCACTAAATCGGCATTGGCAGGGCTCCAGCAGCTTGTCCACTGCAAATTTCCAATGTTAGTGTACAAAAGCTAGTCAATAACGTGCTCTTTGCTCTCTATCGACGTTCGAACATACTTGTAAGAGGAGAGTCGTACCAGTTGTACAATGGGAGCCCATAGGACAAGAACAGCAGGGACTCCTGCTGATAAGACTTCAAAGAACCGAGTGGCTTTGGTGGGTAGCCTTCGATATCTTGCCTGAGATAAGAGGAAGTATGTGCAGCACAACCTAAGAATCATGTTCTGCAGAGGTTGATGAAGACCTTCGTGTTGTTTGCAACCATGTTCTAATAGAATGCTTCCTAATGATGCATATTCATAGAAACCCTCGCACTCCTTTAGCAACCAAGAACACACTTCTAGCTCACCACACAGGATGATGGTGTACACTCTAGAATGAAGTGTTTTGTATGAATGACACGAGCTTCACCCTCTACAATTTACTCCTACCGCATCTGGACTCCAATTTAAGTTTCTTAGTTCATACCAAGCAGATGGGTTTTCAGCTGGAGGTGGGTTCAAAGTTATACCAGAAGTATCATAATCAAGGCAAAAGTGCCCGTGTAGGTTCCGTTGGGGATGAAACCGAAGTCTGATAAGTAAGGACGAAATATTGCCTGCATTGCCTGCAAATGACCATTTCACAGAACACAATTGTCATTCCAAATTACTTGCACGGGCTGATCAGTGAGTATGTGAGCACACAGCGCGATCATCAGCATTCAGACGAAGGAGGTTTTGAAAGATGTGGAATCACCTGAGGCATCAGAGAAAAGCCACCGATCTGCATGGCTTCCTTCCATAACTTGGAAAACTGCGGGCTTATTGTAGAACAACGATTCAAAAAGACGAGTCTGCTCACAACTGCTAGCCCCGTCACGCCAGTGATTAACACGGGGAGCCCTCGGGTAACAGCCAATTGAACAAGTGTTATCAGAGTGGACACCACACCAACGCCATTCAAAGCCATGGCTACTGTATCTCTTCCTAAAGCTTCCTGAGACTGAGTCATATCTCCATGATTCACAACGGCTTTCTGTAGCAAGTTAAATCATTTAAGGCGTTGTAAAACCAGAACCACAAACAATAATTCAGCCCAGGAAAACGTATGCAACCAAAATGACCTATCTCCGAAAACCTCATATGGCTCCATCGCTGAGACGAGTGGGAGTTCCTGAATCTGATACTGAAGGATTTACAGGTTAAATATGTACTCATGGCACGTATGTTGCATTGCGAGTGCAGGGGGAGGACTTGAGGAGATTGCGTGTTCTTGAACATTGGTAGCATCTACTTCGACTCGGTTGTCAAAGATAAAACTACGTACCTGAGACCCAGTCTTCTTCTCGAAGCTCTTGTTCTTTCTCCAAAATCTGCCAACAGCAACAAGTATGCGCTTCGATTTCGACTTCGTCAGCTGACTAGAACTTTTAGCTGTTTTCTTTACGTGATTCGTGTGATTGCTTTCCTTATGCTTGCCACGGATTCGAAACCAGAGATTGCGCAACCGAACCTGCAGTGAGTAGCGAACCTTCGAACTCTGACGTCGGGTAAGGGTAGGATCAGAGGCAATAGAGCTAGATACGCCCAAAACTTGCAACAGGGTTAGGCTCACATGCAAAATCAAGCTGAAAACACGTGCATTGATGGACCCAGTAACGCGGCGCGCATGGGACACAGGAGAGGTCCAAAAGGCTGCTATGAATCGTACTTGGAGACTCAATGCCTTCGACTTCGCAGTGATATCAATCTGAAACCTACCCTCAGACGACATGGCGAGAAATTGCCTCTCCAGAATTCAAATCCGAAAGCGAACAGCCGTAGCCGCTGCATCCACGGAGTGCATCAAATGTGCCCCAACGTCCTCACGTGCTAACACGATTCCTCAAATCCCCACACCCAAATCTCCATCACAACAAAACGCACTCCTAAACCAAACACCGGCTCCCACGAGCTGGACTATTTTGACAGCTTCACCCCCAAAAGCACCAACTCTGCGTAATCCCTATCAAAACCCTCCAACTCGATATCTATGCACAGAAGAAACTACCCATGAATCTTCTTCAATGTCGCTCACCAGTAAATGCATTGACAACGTTAAATGTGCAACCAGTACTTCTGCCGCAGGCCACTATGAAGGCCATACCGACACGGGATTCTGTCTAGATACGGGGCCATAAGTCGACCACCGCGGGCTAAAGTGATTGTCTGCAAGACCCAAATGTGGAGGACCTTCAAGTGGGCAACCATGCATTTGCACAGAACCCACTTCGCTGATCCTCGTGAATCGCGATCCTTTGCTCGCTCTCTTGTCGACGAAGGTCGTACCGACAGCGTAATCCTCCCGAAGTCTGCGATCAGCCCAGTGGCGTAACGTTCTAGCGATGAAACAGGGGTAACGAACGAACATAGTTCATCTTGGGAGTGATTTATCATTCATTTGTCGTATCTGTTACTGGTTTTGTCGATGGGAGTTATCCCAATTGACTTGAATTTTGTACAAAAATATGAAAATTGTAGAACCATCCAAATGTGCTAAGATTCTTAATGCACAATCTCTGGTTGCTTAAGAATGCACGAATCCGTGGCAAGCATAAGGAAAGCAATCACACGAATCACGTAAAGAAAACAGCTAAAAGTTCTAGTCAGCTGACGAAGTCGAAATCGAAGCGCATACTTGTTGCCGTTGGCAGATTTTGGAGAAAGAAGCTTCTGTGCATAGATAACATAGTATGTAGTCATCTACAAATTAAATAGAACAAGTTTCAAAAATAATGATTTTCTCGGCATACTTTTTCTAACAAAGAATTCTTGTAATAAAATATTTATAATAAAAAAAGGATGTTACTTACCAGCGAATTGAAGATTATCCATCCAACTTAGGACTTGCTTATTGATACACTATAATTCAGGTAAAGACACAAGAAATATAAAAAAATCTTTTCTTACAAAGACAAATGCTGTATTTTATTTTATGTTACAGATTTTTTATTTTTTTATTATTACTTTACTTAGCACATGTCCTAGTTCGTTACAGGTTCACAAATCTTATTAAAGTGGTAAAACAAGAAAAATAAATAAAAAAATAAATTAAAAAAAAAATCGAACAAACAAACAATATCAAAATGAAGAGGAGGCCATGGAATGCTTGTTTGAGGATACAAAATTATTATTGTTTTTCAGTTTTGAATCAAAGGTATTCAATATTTTTGTCATAAGATATTGATTCTAGAATGGATTATAATAATAATTATTATTTTTAATGTTCATAGCATTGTTGCAATTAATGAAGAAAATAAAATTTATCTACAAAAACATGGAATTGAACTTTAATATTGATAATAAGTTTTTTTGAAAATGATTACAATACGTGGTTTAGGATTTTTTTAAAATAATACTGAAAATATCATAATTTAAAATTTTAAGAATTGAATTGAGTTTATATTTTAATCAAATTTGAAATCCTGCAATAAAATTTAATATGACTGACTGCATCAAGGATTTCAAAAATGCTACCCACCAAAATAATACCATTTACAATATTTTCATAATCAACACTAAAATGAATGTTTTTGGATTTATGCTCTTCAAATATTGAAACTAGAAGTGCCATTATATTCTTCATTCTGATAAATTAGTTTAAATAAATATGACATTTAGATTTTTAAATCTTAAAAGGTAAAAAATACTATTGAAATTTTAAAATGGTATGGCTTTTAATGGTAGATTTGTATAAAGATTTTTTTTTAAAATCAACTAAAATTAAATCAGACCTGGTAACTAGTTGTGTACTTGATATGAAACTTATGTAAAAAACAGAAAAATAAAAGAAATTAATTATCGTTTATTTTATTTTATTTTATTCTTGGTTCCAAAACATCTCAAAGAAAATACACTTTAAAATTAGTAGATACATTAAAAATCAATTGGTTTTATTTGCATAATATGTCCCCAATAGGTGGACACCACAAATTAAATTATATTAAGAAACAAATATGTGTAGTGCCAACTTATTTACATTGAAAATTTTAATATTAAAAGTATTTTTTGGAATAATATGAATGATAATTGAATCTCCGTAAATTATTAACACTTCAAAATTTGAATATGATATTTTTAATATTAATTTATTTTTGCAAAACAATTAGATTAACATGACTCAATTTGAAACCCATAAAATATAAAAAATATGTATTTTTATTGGAATTACAAAAGAAGTCATTTTTATATACACCAAACCTAAACCTTGTTAATATGAGAATAAGATTTTAAACAAATATTACTAATTGCAAAGTTTTTGCATGCTATTTGAGTAAAATTTTAACACTCTAATTTTTACTTAATACTAGCAAACCCAATATAGGTTATAAAATTTTTAACATTGCTAATTAATTTAGTCAAAGTCAGGTGTGTCTTGAATATATAATTCTAGATCATCCTGTAATTTTCTACATTTTTTCAAGCCATTTGAATAGTAAAGTTATTTTGGCTGAAAAATTTGTGAAAAAACTTTTTTTACTTGTCTAGTTACAATTATTTTTACTAACATATCTTTTAGGAAAATCATTAAAGAGTTAAGCTAACAAATCATCTTTAGAACTTTTTATTTGATTTTTTTTTTTTTTTTTTTTTTTTTTTCTTGTTACGTAACTATCAAGACATAAAATTTCTAAACTTTGAAAGTTTCTGAGCTTAAACAGCATGCAAGACAAGGCCAAAAAATCTTTTAGTTTTGTTAATTCTTATATTGAATCTTGTTTTATTCTTAAAAATTGCAAGTCATTATGTACTTTGGCTTAATAATTTGATTGTCATGTCATGACACAAGACATTTGTTAATATAATTATCCTCAGCGCCAACAGAAGTGTTGTGTGAGCAATGAATCAACCCCATGCAAATCTTTTTAAGTATAAACTTTACTCATTTATACTGTTCATGAAAATTGTCATCACCAAAATATGGTGCACTAAGTTAGGCAACCTGGGAGAGGGGGTTGCAGCTAATTAACACGAGCCTAAACATGAGTGGGCGTCTCAGTTCTACTCGCTAATGCAAGTGTATGCCAAAGCTTTCTCCTCCACAAGCTCGTCGGCGGTGGCGTCCAGCTTTGCCCTCGACTTTTCATCAATGGAGAGTCCTGCGCAGAAATATGAACAAAGCAAAGTAAGCCTCTGCATATCGTCGTTTTAACGCCCGTTGTTGAGGTTAAAAACCAACTTTCAGACCCAAAAGAAGGAAATCAAATATTCTACATACCTTGTACAATGGTCCAGTCTCCATTGGCACATGTCACAGGGTAAGAGTAGATAATGCCTGGTGGCACATTGTAAGATCCGTCAGAGTAGACTCCCATCGATACCCATGATCCCTGAAACACGGCAAAATCTATTAGAATCCAAAAGCAAAATCAACAGTGCCGTGATCGAAAAGAAGGTTATAAGCCAACTGCACCAAGCCAACCCATAAGTCAGATTTCCTTTTTCTTTTTTGTTTCAGAAGCGCTGTTCTCTTCAAAAAGTGATACCTTGGGAGTGCCTAGAACCCAGTCACGGATGTGGTCACAAGCAGAGCTGGCCGCAGAAAGGGCACTTGAAAGCTTGCGAGCCTTGATGATAGCTGCACCTCGTTGTTGAACCACTTTGATGAATTCTCCATCCAACCTGCGTAACAAAAGTGTCAATTCACAAATTCCAATAAAAAAGTTGAAACATGAATTCCTCATTTATGTACATGTATCGTTAACCATATGGTTTTTAGTAGGCTGCAACAGAAACTTGCTTCACAATGTAGTCAGGTTACTTACACGAACTAACCCCAAAACCAGATCATGGCTTGTGTAAAATACCAAAATCAACTTGGGCACACTTCAGAAGCACTGGATTACATTTGATGGAAGCTCTCGACATTTTTCAGAGGATTCACTGACTCAATACTTAACCCAAGGTTGACTCTAGTACCTCGTATTTTTTAAGATGAAATCCAGGCTACTTTTAAAATGGCAAGATAAATAGCGAGTTAACTAAAGTTAGTAAAGTATACCAGGCATCGTCTGAAACTGCGTCACGCACGGCCTTTTCACCATCTGGACTGTCAATGACGGCATGGTTGACATCCGGGTATTGCGATGATGAGTGGTTACCCCAGATGATGACATTCTTCACAGTGGACACTGGCACATTCAAGCGCTCGGCAACTTGCCCAAGAGCCCTGTTGTGGTCAAGCCGGGTCAGACACGTGATGTTTTTCTCAGGAATAGAGGGAGCGAACTCCTTCAAGATCAGGGCATTGGTGTTTGCTGGGTTTGCGACCACCAAGACCTGTCGAACCAATCACAACACTAAACCTTTATTAAGGAGGCAAATTTCTTATTAAAACATAATAACATAAAAAAACAATAAAGTAGAACAAGAAGAACAAGAAGAAACTCACAGCAATTATAGGACCATATGTGAATGCATGAATTTAGCCTTACATTCAAAATAAAGTCACATATATCGCGCTTATGAATTTATGACGAACACCTACCTTGACATCTTTTGCAGCGTGCTGCTCAAGTGCTGAGGCCTGAGCTTTGTAGATGGAAACATTTTTGGACATCACATCCTTGCGCTCCATACCCTCCTTGCGAGGAAATCCTCCCACCATGACTGCGATGTTCACATCCTTGCAGGCCTCTGCCACATCCGTTGTAGCTACAACACCTGTTCAAGGATCAATACAAGCTAAGTTAATTGAATGGATCAATTTACATGTACAACTTCGAATCAGATCAGTATTCACGTACAACACGATTGTTTTGTCTGTGAAAAAGATGTCGAAATTTAGAGACATCATACACGAAGCAGCTTGAAATTTTTGTGACATATGCCAGTATACAACATCCTTATGCGTTTTGACCTGACAAGATATCATCGATGCTTAAAAATTAATTAATCAGTTAATAATATTCAAATGGTCCTCAGAAACTTCACATTTTTGGTAAACAACTACAGGCTTGACTTCGATAAGCCAATCGAAACAGAGAAAAACTGAAAGTAAACGAAACAACTTTTTTAATCTCATTACATTCTCTTATACTAATTAGTGAACAATCACGAGTGAGTTAATGTTTTGACATACCTTTCAAAAGCGGGAAAGCTGCATCTGTAAGCTCCATCTTCACACCATTCAGGGACTCTGTGGCAGGGGGAATGTCCAACATGTGCAGAATGACGGGCTGATCTGGGCCCAGCATGATTCCTCTAGCGATCATGGGCACCAAGGCATACCCAATTTGTCCTGAAACATACAACAAGAAATCTCAACCACTTCAGGAAATAAATAATAAATAAATAAATCTAGCATAAGCAGTGCTAGCTTGGATTCATCGTCAAGGCTCTATGGGATTTCTAAATTCCAGTTAACAGGTGGTTTCACCGCTACTCTAACCATACATGCAGAACCCAATCAACCGAGTGCCCGCCGTTACAATCCATACACTTCAACGAAAGTACGAAGGCACTAAGATATTAACTTATGGTGCCAAACGTTCTTTGCGACGTTGCTGAGACCTGTAACTCGTCCAACGTCCGCATTCAGAATCGATCCAACTTTGAAAAACAAACCAACAAATTATTCGCAGTGTATCGGATCAGCACCGTTGAGGAATAATCCGTAAAGATCTAGCACAAATGTAGCCTCCTTCCAATTGAAAGACAGGCGCATTGGTTTAACGGGCTACATCTATATCTACAGATTTAAAACGTCGCGAGAAAGCTGTAAATTGACTTCCAAAAAAAATATCGTCACAAACAGAGACATCTTCTTCTCTCAATCCCTCTCCAAAATCGTGAGTACATCAGAAAGACAACAGTGTACAGCACCTCCGCAACTTCAACTCAACACTCCGGGGTCGATTTCCAAAAACGAGTCTCACAACATTTAGAAACACAGATATAGGAGAGAGGGAAAAATTGTTCATATATATATATATATATATAATCTACATTCGAAAAACTAAATTAAAAAAAAGTTACAAAAATAAATAAATAAATAATCGAAACCAAAATCGAAGTTTTCAGATCTTACAGAAACGCCCATCAAAATCGCAATGGTTGCAGCACACAAAACTAATTCTCGAAACAAATAAGGCAAAAAGCCTCTCCAACCAAATCACCAACAAGATTAACCCGAACCCCGACCACCCACCTAAACACAAAACCAACTACAAACCTCCCTTGCACCCCTCCCACTGGTAATCGCATCCACTCACAACACCCACACACCACAACCAAATCAACAAAACACATGAACAAACATAAAGCAACCCAGTAGGAGACCCAGAAGAAAAAGACACGAAGAGAAAGAATACCCGCAGCTCCAGTGACCAAAACGCGCACTGGGTCCTTCGCCATCGCTGCAAATTTGGACAAATTGGGTAAACAGAGAAAGGAAGTCGAGAGAGAATCGAGGAGAATAGCAAGAGATGGGAGTGAAGAAGCGAAGCAAAATCAGGATTAATGGGCTCAACTACGTTCCAGTCCTCCCCCTTCTTTAGAGGCCAAAGCCACCTCGGTGCACACGACGCTGCAACGACGTGCCCACCCCTCCGGCCGGGCCGGGCCGGGCCTGGATGGGAGCTCCATTCTCCTCGCTTGGCGCTTGCTGCACCCGGCCCGAGATCCAAACGGCGGCCGCCGGTGTTGTCGGGAAGGGGGTAGAAAAGGAGAGCATAATACCGTGACCCGGTTTTTGGTGCCGCGCCCTCGGGGGGACTATACTACTACCAGTAATACTAGTACTACTATTTATAAAATAGTGCGGGTGAGTGAGGTGTTGTGTTGTGTTTTGTGTGGGGGGGTTTTGTATGAGTGAGTCAGCACCGTTCCCTTGTGAAGAGGGTCTGCGTCAGAGAGTTTATTTTTATATTATTCTATTTGTGTGTATATCTTTCACCGTTTGCTTGCCTTGAACTCCTCGCCTTTGCACACTCACTGGGTGCTTCTTCTTTTTTTATTTTATTTTTTGTTGTTGTTGTTGTTGTTATCCTAATTCCTCATCCGTCATTTTTTCTGTTGGGAACTGTTTCTCATTCATCTGTCCGTGGTTACCAGTCCACGCTATCCTCCATGCTTTGAAATTTGTGGGGTATAGAGTGAGGCCAAATTGCATAGACAGGGACCACATTTCTTTTCTCCATTTGACCCACCAATATATTCATTTGTTGTGTGTGTGGGTATGTAATCAACAGTGGTAATATATTTGGTTCTGGAATGTATTCTTGTGACTTGACAACCTTTGAATTTGAGAATGAGTGATGACTGCAGTTCTGAGGAAACTATTTTTAAAACATGAGCACAAATCAAGGTTAGTAACAAGAAACTCAAATAATTTTTATGGTTTTGGGGTCTTCACTATTGAGATTACTGTATAAAGAGGAGAGGGTTTTTTATGACATTTGTTGTTTATTTTGTTGGGATGCACTTCATCTTTGTATTATAACAATCATCCCAGATTTCAACAGTGTTGCTAAATTAAGTGATGACTGTTCTTAATTTGAAAGAGAATATAGAAGACATATTTTGCAATACACGTATATATATATAAAGGTTTGCATTGTTTTATGATTTTAGAAAACTATTGTAACTGTAATGTTAAAAATAGAAAACATGTATCCACGCAATTAATGCTAGCCTGATTGGATAAAATCAGACTTGGTTGTAGACTTGTGGTATTGTTTTGCAGGATGGTTTCATTGATTTTATGATTCAACACTTAGCTGCTAATGTGGACGTGAAAAAGATCAGGAAATTATTTGCAATTTTGTTCCGGATTAATATGAAAATAAACAAGCTGAAAAATTTAGGAACAATGTAATATTTGGAATTCCATTGAGTTTTCAGTGTTTTTGTTTTCTTTTTTCTCTTTCCACGAGCAAATCAAGTATCGATTGCAGAAATAAATGCTGAACAGTTTCCATTTACAAATAACTTGTCTATCAATTCCTCCTTGGTTGCCAACACCAAACCCCCACAAATGGAAAGTACTTTGAATACCTTTTTAGGCAATATTAGATTGCAGGAATCAAAATGTTGAAATCAAAGCATATTAAGGAGCTTACTTTCTACCACAATTCATATAAAAACCCTTTAAAATAATGCATAAATGTTTACCTTTTTCTAATTTAGCACCACCAGTTGAACATGTCTACAAAGGTGAATATCATTGGAACTAACTAAATTTTTCTATTTCATAAAATACTCAAATGAAGTTATATACATGTTCAATGAAAAGATGCCCATCAATAAAAACAAGAAATATATATATATATATATATATATATTTTGGATATTAAGCTTATATATATATATATATATATATATAAATATATATACCATAAATCCTAAATTTAGTTGGATCAAACACATTGTTGGGAGTTCCATGTTGAAGTTGAAGCTCTTCAACTTGAATTCTAACAATCACAGAAAAACACCCAAAAACTTGTACTAAGGGGTGTTCACAATCACCAAGTGAATTCTCGAACCAACACAACAAGCAATATACATCAAAGAAGAAAACATATAATAATATATTTGTTTTGTGTTGTACAACTTGACTGGGAAACATTTGAATGAAGTCAAGACAACCCTTCAATGTTGTTTTTTATGATGAGAAAAGTCAATCCAAGCAACCTTCTCAAGGTCAAATTATGCACCTATTCAGAAAAGAATGGACATTCACATGCTTTTTTTAACTTTAGAAGTTCCACAAAGTGTTATATCAGAAACATAATTTTAAAACGTCAAGGGACCTATGGCCATGATAATTAATCAAATTAGTTGATGTGTTTTGATGTTGTGGCAACCAATGGATAAAAAGGTGCATTTATACACAGAGATTGCTTAACAGTGAGGGACAAGCATTGAGCGATGGTAGAAGCCAACAACATATGCAAAGACTTTGCAAGCTTCTCAACTGTTTAGAAAGTCAGTACAACATTATAATACCAATAATAAAATGGAATAATTTGTACAAGAAATACATTTCAACAAAGTTCTTTACTTTTTATCATTGAAAGTTGTGAATTTGGTTACTGGATCATGCCATGTTGATGTTCCACAAAATTGTGTGTGTGTGTTGGGGGGGGGGGATTTTAGGGTTTGGGAGAGATGCATGTTGGCCAAAGAAAAAAACAAAGTTATAATATGAGTTGCTTTCAAGCATGTTAATAGTAGCAGAGAGCTTTCTCAAGTTTGCAACAAGTCTCCATGACAAAGTAGTAGTTGGGTCTTAGAATCAAAGTGAATTGTATCCTAAAGTGCTTAAAAGAAAATATGTTGTGCATCTATAACATATGTTGGCTTTTAGGTGGTGAAGCATATTATAACTTTGTTTTTTTCTTTTTTTTCTTTTCCATTATTATCACTATATTCTGTTCTCATGATTACATGTCATTAAGCATGTATTATTTTATTCATTAATATTTAACCATAGATTGCAATGAAACATTATAGGTAAATAAAAAATTATAAAAATTCTTGCGGACAAAGTGTTTTTTTTTTTTTTTTAAAAAAAAAATCCAAATATTCATTTTTAAATATATTTTAAACATTTTCTACAATAAATAACTTGGGATGTATGTTATGGTCATATATATTTATATATATATATATATACACACACACACACACATACATATATATATATATATATATATATATATAAAAACACAAATAAAATCATAATAAAAATATCAAATAAGGTTATAAAATTATTCAAAGATTGAACTTAATAAAGAAACTTTGTTGTGAATACAACTGCATCAATAGAATTGCAATCTGAGACTTTTCATTTTAATTCTATCAAAAACAAACATTTGTATTTTGATAAACTAAAGTAGCTTTTGATTTGATCATGCAAGAAATTTAAAAAAGAAAGAAAAAAAGAAAGAAGCACAAGCATGTATATTAGAATTATTAAAATTTAAATTAAACATATATGTGAATATACCCTTATAATACATTAGGATGAATAGAAGCAATAATATTCTATATTATAAAAACCAAAAAAAATAAAAAGACAATGCTTTTCTAGAAAATTATTTTGGAATAGTATTTTAATTTAAATTTTTTGAAATATGATTATATTTGGCAAAAAAATGTAAATACAAGAAAACATTCATTCAAGATTTGATGGAATAAAGAAAACTACTTATTAAAGCACAATACAAAATTTCTACTTTTGAACTTCATAGAACAATACTATTAATTTTTTAGTATTTTTATTATAATCAATAATAAAAAAATACATGAATTGATATAATTATCTCATAATCTCAACAATATATGTTTATTATCTTTTTTTGTTTTTTTGTTACATTCAATACAATTAGCATACTTTATTATTCACATTATAACAAAAACTTAACATATGTAAAAATATACACACATACATAAATAAAATTTGGATATATACAGAAATTTAAAATTTGATTAGGATACAACATGTATCAAAATTATCTTAACAATCTGCATTTAAACAATTATTATATCTTCATCACTATAATTATCAGCATGTAAAGGATCATTTTGGACAGCATCCAAAAACTTTTAAAAAGTATAAAATTATCAACTTCCACATTGATATTATATTTTTTTGTTGGCTTGGAATTTAATTTTTTTCAGAATAATATGATTTCTTTGTGTTTATACAAAATCAAGATCTAGACAATAAAAAAACACTATAAAAATTTTAAAAGAAGGAAAGAAGTGTATTAAACAACATCAAATCTGTACATTCTCAATAAGAGAATGGTCCAACAAACAATATAATCTTGTCAAATGTACAATACATCCTAGAATTATCTCTTTTGGTGCATTTATTGAATAAATCCTAATTTCATTATAATGAAATATGAATTTCTTTTTATCAAACATATATTGAAGGTGTAAAAATAATTTTATGACATAAAATAGCTAAAAAAATAATGATTTGTTAAAAAACTCAAATTTAGATATTAATATTTATAATTTGAGTTTTAAAAAAATTCCATTAGTAATCATGTGCAAATAAAAATTCTAATTCAAAAACCTTTTGTGAAAAAATAAAGAGGAAGTGTATTGCTAAGATAGATGTTTTATGAAGCAAATACAAAATAATTCTGTACTTTATTATCAAAGATTCAAGAAAACAAATACTTAAAATGAACCTATACTTATACTCCTAATATAGCATAAGTCCATAGTCTAACTACATAGACTTTCTAAAGTGAATATATAAACAACTAGCTTAGTCAATAATGTCAAATTAACATGTAGACACTTGTTTTGATAGGCTGTATGATGGCTTGATAGGCAATGGCAACTAAATGGTATTTCCACCAACAAATGGTAGTTATAACTTGTCAACTGCAAAGCGGTGTCAACTGCCCATTCTACTTTATATCTAATAAGAGTTACACATACTATTAACACTCCTACTTAATGACATATTAGACTAACTCAATTTGATGATGTCCATCATTTCTTTGAATTTATAATATTTCTCACGAGTTG